AACAGAAAGGCGTCTCATTTATACGCTGACATAAAGGTGACAGGAGCTGAGGTGCTACATGAAGTTATTCACGTCTGTCTTTGTTGTTTTCCATTTCACTGACAAGAGTTTGTTTATATTTATGTAGCCTCCACATCATGCATACATTGGACACCTTATTGAGCATTCACGCTTACATTTATAATGATGCACAATGACAGCTAATGTGCTACATGTAGCACCTGTTGACAACCAGACAGACAAAAAAAAATAAAAATCTAACAAAAAGGGCAAATAAATAAAGCTCACAGGTGGGAATATATAATCAACAGTAGCACCATCATCTCTGAAGCCGTTTCCTCACAAGTTCAGCAGGTGGTGCTTCCTTTAAAACAAACAGTCCATTCACTGTTCACGCTTTCTTTTGCTTTAACTGCAGAGCAAATATGTCACTGTAGTGCAAATGTTCCTGTCAAGAGAAAACACACAAAGACGTTCAGAAACATGAAGCGGCTCCAAACATGAGCCGGCGGTCAGCAGTCTGTCAGGATAACTGTAGCCTGCTGTGTCCTGTGTTTCATATGTGGACATGTTAGACATGGTTATCAGCATGTGGTGCAAAGGACCGGGGGGCCAAGCTGGCTGATATCAAGAATACATATATTTCTACAGGATTAACTGGACATTTAATGCAGATATAACAAAGCTTGGACTGAGTCTGTTCAGTAGAGGACGCTCAGACTCAGCAGTTTATAATCAGCACTGTCTGCAGCACGTATCAGCTCACCGACTTCTGACCAATGACACGACTGCAGCGTGGCAGACTGTAGAGATGCAAAGAAACTCACTGACAGCATCTTTTTAATCAAAACTATTCTAATTAAGTAAGATAGGTGACACTTAAGTTAAAATGACCACAGTTGCTAAGCTAATTCCAGAGGCCCATTAACGGCAAGTGTTAGCATCAAGCTAACAAACTCACGGTCCATCTGTGAGAAACTGCGCCCCCCTCTGTGAGAATAATGCAGCAGCCACCACCGACTGACAGAGTGAAATCATGTTGAATATTATCATAGTAAGTTGTATGTTTATAAAAAGCAGCCCTCTGTTTACGGTTGAAAGTCACATAAAGGCTAAATCTGTGCACGATCTGTTTCCATCCCAGGACAAAAATTCTCTTAATCAGTCACCACATCAGATTTATTTTATTCTAACTTTAAATCTGTTTCAGGTTCTTTGTGCTTCTTGGTTCAGTCAGAGCATGAAGACATAAAGGACACCAAAGCTGCAGTTCTTCTACTGGCCACTACAGGCTGGCTCTGTGCATAGACTGTATATAAGAAGTGGACGTAGCCTCGATGTCGGAAAAGTGAAGCCAATGCTAAAGGGATTTCTGCTTCCAATATGTAAATGTTGGGTATAAATCTCAGTATATTTCTGAAGCTAACATTCGGAGATTACTTACATATTTTAACCCCTAACAGCAACAATGGCGACGGCAAAAATACCAAACACAACACTGACTGATGACATCACAGTGGTTACTTCCACTTCTGATAAACAGTCTGTGGCTCCACTCAGACCTGCTCTTCAGACGCATCAGGATTTTCAGGCTTCAGTAACTGACGTGTTCTGTCCCTGGGAATAGCAGCATGTGAAGCTTTTAGCGCGAGTTCTTTTGTCTTTCGAGGCAGCTTCAGTGGAGGACTCTGGCTTCCATTGGATTCTTTTGATTTCAGAGTACAGGGTGAATCCAATATGGCCGCTGAGCGCCTCATGCTACGTGCTTGCCTAGCTGGTGATCTTCTTGCGGGGCAGGTAGGCGTTAGTGATCTGGTTCATGACCACGAGGGCGGGGAAGAGGGGCAGCAGCAGGAAGGCCCACCAGGCCACGCCTCTGACCGTGGCCTGGAACCAGTCGGAGAACATGGCCGTGACCACGGTGAAAGTGGCCAGCAGGTAGACCACCAGGCCGCAGGTGGCGTGGTACAGCTTCAGCCTCGGCGGGGGGGAGGAGAGACGCAGCAGCTGAGGGAACTTCACGCAGATACCGAACGCGGCCTGGAGCACGGTGGCGGTCAGGGTGCTGACCCCCAGCAGGCTGTGCCAGGAGACCAGGTGGGGGAGCTCCGACACGTTCTTACTGGCCACCATGAAGCCCAGGCCGGTGGCGGCAGCTATCAGAACCAGAGCCTGACAGAACCAGTGGAGACGGACTTTGTTCTTACGAGATTTGCAGCAGAAGGGGGATCCTTCAGCGGAGAAGAGGAGGACGCCTTCAGTCATACACAGACAGTACTGCAGGAGGACGAGACACACAGAGTTACAGTCAGGACTAATGTGTGGTTTGTTTGTTTGTCGTTTTATCTGCACTATTTTTCTGAACACTTAGCCAACATTCTTTCAGTTAAAAGCAAACATTGAACATTTATTTCTCACTGGTATTAGAGCTCGACCGATTAGTCAGCCAGCCGATAACATCAGCCGATATTCGCTTATCCAGTGACTATCTGTATCGGCTAATTTTATCTCAGATATTCACAGATATTACTAGATGTATTCATGAGTCAAATAGCATTTCATTTGAGTTTCATTGTCTTACACTAGCAGTTCTGTCACCAGCAGAGGGCGCTGTATGGATTATAACAAACATCATCACTCTTCATAGTGTGAAGCTGTACATGAACAGTTACTTTCCAGTTGAGTCACCATCTTGTCTTCATTATAAATCTTTTCCAAGTGTTTGATGAGTGTTTTTAAGGGATCAACTCAATACTTGTGTATATTTAAATATATCTCTACAGATCGAACAGAGATTAGAGAAAGATATCGGCTGATTTATCAGTATCTGATTTTTTTTATCTTCCTAATATCCACATCAGCCCAAAAAACACATATCGGTCAGGCCCTGACTAGTCTATCTGTTAACCTGCAGATGAACTGTTGGTTAGCTGGTATGTTAAACACAGAGAGGAGAGCATGTGACGCTAACTGAAGTAAGAACACTGATAAACAAAATATGCATGTCATGCTGCACACGTGTCCAAAGAATGAACTACTGCACGTCCCGCGTCTGAATCAGATTAATAAAGTGTTCCTCTGAATATCAGGTCAGAGTTTGTCCTTCACATGCTCTGCTTTTACTGCTGCTCTATGGTTTAAGGTTTAATAACCAGGGTTTGATGGATCGGTCTTCATCAGACGACAGATTTCTTCTCATGGTCAACGCTAAAAGAACTACGTGCAAAGTCATTAAAGTGAAAGTCTATAACTTCACTAATCTTTACAGAAACAAACTCAATGTCTTTATATTTAGCTCTTATAACTTTTGGAAACTGTCTTTGAAACATCAATCATAAATCCTTTTCATATTTAAATGAGTGTGTGTGTGTGTGTGTGTGTGTGTGTGTGTGTGTGTGTGTGTGTGTGTGTGTGTGTTTAACAAAGCAGTGAGTCATTAATAGGGTTCTATTGTGAAGAGTAAATGGACGCATCAATCAAAAGTTTGGGGCTCAAAGTGAAGACTTGTTTCTGACAGGAGGAGGCGTGATGTGTGGACGGTCAGACGTCATCATGGCTGACAGACTGAGAGGACTGAGGGATCACGCTGTACCACCATGACAAGATGGATCACGCTGTACCACCATGATGAGATGGATCACGCTGTACCACCATGACGAGAGGGATCACGCTGTACCACCATGATGAGATGGATCATGACGAGATGGATCATGATGAGATGGATCACGCTGTACCACCATGATGAGATGGATCACGCTGTACCACCATGACGAGAGGGATCACGCTGTACCACCATGACGAGAGGGATCACGCTGTACCATCATGACGAGAGGGATCACGCTGTACCATCATGACGAGAGGGATCACGCTGTACCATCATGACGAGAGGGATCACGCTGTACCATCATGACGAGATGGATCACGCTGTACCACCATGACGAGATGGATCACACTGTACCACCATGATGAGATGGATCACGCTGTACCACCATGACGAGAGGGATCACGCTGTACCACCATGACGAGAGGGATCACGCTGTACCACCATGACGAGAGGGATCACGCTGTACCATCATGACGAGAGGGATCACGCTGTACCATCATGACGAGATGGATCACGCTGTACCACCATGACGAGATGGATCACACTGTACCACCATCATGAGATGGATCACGCTGTACCATCATGATGAGATGGATCACACTGTACCACCATGACGAGATGGATCACGCTGTACCATCATGACGAGATGGATCACGCTGTACCACCATCATGAGATGGATCACGCTGTACCACCATGACGAGATGGATCACGCTGTACCACCATGACGAGATGGATCACACTGTACCACCATCATGAGATGGATCACGCTGTACCACCATGACGAGATGGATCACGCTGTACCACCATGACGAGATGGATCACGCTGTACCATCATGACGAGATGGATCACGCTGTACCACCATGATGAGATGGATCACACTGTACCACCATCATGAGATGGATCACGCTGTACCACCATGATGAGATGGATCACGCTGTACCATCATGAGATGGATCACGCTGTACCATCATGAGATGGATCACGCTGTACCATCATGAGATGGATCACGCTGTACCATCATGATGAGATGGATCACGCTGTACCATCATGAGATGGATCACGCTGTACCATCATGAGATGGATCACGCTGTACCATCATGAGATGGATCACGCTGTACCATCATGATGAGATGGATCACGCTGTACCATCATGAGATGGATCATGCTGTACCATCATGATGAGATGGATCATGCTGTACCATCATGAGATGGATCACGCTGTACCATCATGAGATGGATCACGCTGTACCATCATGAGATGGATCACGCTGTACCATCATGACGAGATGGATCACACTGTACCACCATCATGAGATGGATCACGCTGTACCACCATGATGAGATGGATCACGCTGTACCATCATGAGATGGATCACGCTGTACCATCATGAGATGGATCACGCTGTACCATCATGAGATGGATCACGCTGTACCATCATGATGAGATGGATCACGCTGTACCATCATGAGATGGATCACGCTGTACCATCATGAGATGGATCACGCTGTACCATCATGAGATGGATCACGCTGTACCATCATGATGAGATGGATCATGCTGTACCATCATGAGATGGATCACGCTGTACCATCATGATGAGATGGATCACGCTGTACCATCATGAGATGGATCATGCTGTACCATCATGATGAGATGGATCATGCTGTACCATCATGAGATGGATCACGCTGTACCACCATGATGAGATGGATCATGCTGTACCACCATGACGAGATGGATCACGCTGTACCATCATGATGAGATGGATCATGCTGTACCATCATGAGATGGATCACGCTGTACCACCATGATGAGAGGGATCACCCTGTACCACCATGACGAGATGGATCACCCTGTACCACCATGATGAGATGGATCACCCTGTACCACCATGATGAGATGGATCACCCTGTACCACCATGACGAGATGGATCACCCTGTACCACCATGACGAGATGGATCACCCTGTACCACCATGATGAGATGGATCATGCTGTACCATCATGACGAGATGGATCACCCTGTACCACCATGACGAGATGGATCACCCTGTACCACCATGACGAGATGGATCACGCTGTACCACCATGACGAGACAGCACAGAGCTGCTCTCACTAACTGCTCAGTGTGTAACATTATACCAGATACTGCTAGTTAGCATTAGCACATCCCTCTCTCCTTCTAATCTATTATTTACAGCGGAAACAAGAAGGAGACACAAAGAGCAGAGCGTCTGAATGTACCCGTGTCCTTACGAGAGTTCATATTCAAGAGGAGAAAGACTAGAGGTGTTTTTTTATGATGTTTAATATTTTTTGTTTCTGTTAAATATGAATCATCACAGACTGACCAGTCTGTAGTAACACATGAATCAACAGTTACGTAACCATGGTGATGTAGTGTCCCCAATAATATTAATAATGCCTCTCAGGACTCAGTGATGAAGTGCTGCTTTCACATGCTCCTCGGAAATATCGTACTTCCCGAGACGTGCAGACGACATTCACTCGTTCAAGTGCTCTGGTTGGACGCTAGCAGTGACACTGTTTTTCTTGAGTTTAAAGACAAAAGCCCCATTGTGCTTCAGCGGCAGAATGAAGAACATAGATTGAGCATCAGGTATGTAGTTGACGTTTTAATTTGTTTATTAGCTTAAATAAAATTAGAATCAGCTGATATTTGCTTAGCTAGCTAAGTTGGGTTGTTAACATATTGTGTTTGTTGTTCCTGTCTCAGTCAATTGTTGACAGAAAGGACGCCTCATATCCCCTCTCCTCTTTGTTTCCTCCCGTCTCTCCGTGCGTCTCTGGTGGGACAGACTGAGACGTGGACGAGGCGTGAGGGATGATTGGATGCCATAAAGGGAACTGAGACGTAGCCACTGTGTCCGAGCTTTCCGCCATTTTTCACTTCTTTGAAACGTCACACAAACGTCAAAACTCTGCAACTCAGGTATCATCGAAATGCCCCAACGTCCCACTCCAGAAAACTACTTGTTAATTACGTCATAACTCGTAAACACGATATTTCCAAGGAGCACACGAAGGCAACATCAACACAGTGTGCACAGGGGCAAAAAACTGACGAGGAAAAAAAGCCGACAAACTAACAGTTCTTATTAATATTTAATATAAAACCTTCAGACCCTGATCGAGTTCACACACTGACTCAGAAGAGATCTAACAAACAGCTGGTAATGCTGAACTGGACCTTTCACTGTAAGTGTGTGTGTGTGTGTGTGTGTGTGTGTGTGTGTGTGTGTGTGTGTGTGTGTGTGTGTGTGTGTGTGTGTGTGTGTGTGTGTGTGTGTGTGTGTGTACTTACTGCAAAGGACATACACACTGGATGCCAGGAAAACAGACCTGGAACAAATAAAGACACATGTATAAACACCTCATAATTAGAGACGCACACACTTTCTGCAGTTCAGATGCGATTCAGAAACATATTTGTTGATACTATAAATATTTGTATTAATGATGTTGTTATTATGTGTAAGGCTACACTAAGCTGTAGTTAACCTGGCATTGCATTTATTTTTCAAAGAGCATAAATGAGGGACAGAAATGAGTTTCTGATGTTGATGAAGGATCGTCTGTTGCATCGTTTGGGATTCTGTTATCATTTAACAAGTTAGACGGAGTTACTACTATCAGTTCCTTTAGTTAGGGACGCAGATAGCCTAGTGGTTAGTACGTGCACAGAGGCTACAGCGGGCGGCCCGGGTTCGAATCCAACCTGTGTCTCCTTTCCTGCATATCATTCCCCTTTCTCTCCCAGATTTCTGACTCTATCCTATCTCTCATATAAAGTTATAAAAAGCCCAAAAATAAATCTTAAAAAATGTTTTGTTTATTTGGAGGAGAATTTATTCACCATTTCATCTGACCACTGTTTTTTTTTATTATTAGTGATTAATACCGATATCACCTGTCAACATATAATGTATACAACTCTGACTGTAATATTTACATATAATTATATTTATTAAATGTGTTTATTTTTAACGTAATAACTCACAACATGAAAATCTTCAATACATATGTTACATAGTTAAGATAGACAAAGACAATTTGTTTATATTTTCTATATTTTGTATTTTTATTTCATTCATAAAATTCAAACAGAATAAATTATATTACAAAATCTTTAATTATTATTTCTTAAGACTTAGACAGTCTTCACAGATAAGTGTATGTGGTTATTATTGCTTTTTTTTGTGGTATTGTTGCATATTTTAATTTCGTTTTATATTTTCAGTCAACCTTGCCCTGCTCTCTGTGTGTGTATATATAAATATGTAAAATATGACACCCAAAAGAAGAACTCACTGGTTCCGGGTCTGGACAGCAGGGAGATGATGAGGGTCAGTCCCAGGCCGGTGACATGAGCCGCTATCACCGCCGCCCTCCGCAGCCACACGTACAGCCAGAAGTCCCGCATCCCGAACCCCTCTCCCACCGGGCTGTACTCCACATCAGACCGCATGCTGCTGGAGTAACACACCGCTTCACCTGCCCGGGGCTACCTGCCGACTGCCCAAGCAGGTGTTCTGAAAGCCATAATCATTCAGGCAGAAAGGGAGACCTGTGCAGAGCAGGTTGTAACAAGAACAGAAGGTTTCACTTCGATGAGATGCAATTAAGCAGAAAAAGATATAGATTGTTTCATTTATTGATTTCAATCACTAAACATTTCAAACAACAGCTTTGGGTTGAAAATATGATTGAAGATTGTTTTTTTTCTTTTACAAGATTAATTATTTCGATCAAGAAAATAAAAGTTTGTATAGTTTAAACACGTGGTATCCAAAAAATATCGCAGTATTTAAAATTCTGACCACGTCAATTCAGAGGAGTACAGGTGTATCGGTTAAAAGAGTTACCGTGTTATCCGGTGACTTTCACCCGAATGCGTCAGAGCTGCTGAAACTAAACTAGTCCCCACAAATGCCTCTTTTTTTTTTTTTATCAGCATGTCTTTCAAGAAAAACGGAGAAAAGACTTTCGACAGATGTTGCTATGACAACCGCAGAGTTTCGGCTGAAAGTCTCCAGTTTACACGGTCACTCGTTGATCCCAAACACCGGACAGAATCAAGTTACACACAGCTTCTGGTGTACGTGTTGAGAAAATGAATATCCAGAAAGAACATTTGTTATTTATTTTTCATTAACACTCATGCATCATTTGGACATTTCTGTCCATTTGGGCACATTGTTCCTCTTCATCTGCTCATCATTTTGTCTGTTTTAGTGCATATGGCACAATTTGTTTTAAGTCTGTCTAGACACATTTTTGATTGCAGATTTTATTTATTTTTTAATAGATCAATAGAAGACTAAAAAAACATGTTACTACCTTCTTAAGTCTTTAAGGACAAAAATGTAAAAAAAAGAATTCTGCATAAATCTCTTGAACAACTTCCGTCCTGCTCAAAACTACCAAACATTTAATCATTTTGAGGATATTTTTATTAAATATATTAGCAAAATATAATTAAACTGACATTTAAAGGGTTAATATCCTCAAAATGATTAAATGTTTGGTAGTTTTGAGCAGGACGGAAGTTGTTTAAGAGATTTATGCAGAATGTTTTTATTTACTTTATTTTATTTTTTATTTTTTTATGCAGGGTAGAAGATTAAACTGAAGCATGAGGGTTAAAACTGTTGTCATTTTTTATTTCATTAATTAAAAAAATAAAATAACTTACGTTTGAACCGTCGTGTAATTTGGTCCCCATGACAACAATATGTTTCTTATCTCACGAAGGGCAGAAACAGAGATTCATTCCTGGTCTTAGTTGTTCCTTTTTTCCCCCAAAAAGACTTAAAGGAATAAATTAAAACAGCTGATTAAATCCCTCTGAGGGGAAATAAAATCCGATTATGTTAAATAAGAGTTTGTCTCCCCTCCGGCTCTCTGCTGGTTTATCTCCTTTTTCTGCCTCTCGTTGGTTCTTTATGTTAAAAACACAAACAGTTTAAAAGAGAAATAAATCCCTCCATGTCGTGTGACACACAGTCAGACCGTCCAGACCACAAAGACTGCAAACATGCAACTTCTTCTGCCGACTGCTCGTGTTTTGATTTCACTTCCTGGTTCGACGTCAGACACTAAGCCGGAAGCGAGATGCTTCATTTCCTGTTTTTCCTGTTTCGTCGTCGCTTGATGTCCGCAATTTATTTATCAAGAATACAAATCCAAACAACATGAGACTGACATCTTACAAAATACATAAAAAATACACAGATGAATATTCAAAACAGAAATAATAACAGGACGAATTAAATAATTTTAATAATAAAGTAAATCAATAATGTAGCTCGGGCTTTTCTTGTCATTTGTGTCCTTCCACTTTTTCATTTTGTATGACTCTAAGGGCTTTTATTCAAGTCAGATAGTCGTTAAAAACAGAATTTAAGGGATATTTCGCGTCTGTTTCGACTCATTACAATAATTCAGGCTTAATGTTTTTGTTTTATATCTTGAAACAAGTTTTTTTTATCTGGATTTGTCAGGTGATGTGGTTCATATTGTCTTCAAATATACAAATATACTTTCTTAGTTTTGAGTGTTTGCAGAGAATACGTCACATTATCACTACTTTAACTGACCTGTCCCTTTAAATGTGTCGAGTTATCAGGTCTGAACCAATCAGCACATGTTTGGGTTGCTTGGCAACAGTTTAGTTTAAAACCAGCCTCATTCATTCATCTTCACTCCTCGCCTCCACGTTTCTAAACACAACAGCTGGACCACTTTACTGTTTTTAGAGTTGTATTGTTTGTAAATGTTGTGTATTTGTTTTATTTCGTATTGTAATGTTTTCTTTGTATGCCTCGTGTTAAATAAACTAAACTAGGTAAGCACGTCTACCTGTGGATGTGATGACACCACTTTGCTTCAAGCACCTTCTCAGATTAGGCCAACAGCACGTTTTTAAACATTTCTGAATGTGTTTGACATTAGTTTAACAAACCCATGTTCACTTAAAAAATCAGCCCGAGTGATTTGAGATTTTTGGGGCCGATATCGATATTGGGGAGGGAAAAAATCTGATACCGATATTTTGGCAAATATCTTTCTCAGATCTATGAAATCAATCGAGATAGATAAACAAGTTTACTGTGTTGATCCCTGAAACAGTTCTCAAACACCCAACTGGAAAGTAACTGTTCATGTACGTTCACCACCGCGTTACTTTGGAGTGATGAGGCTGGTTGTAATCCATATAGCGCCCTCTGCTGGTGAAAGAGAACTGCTAGTGTAATACAATGAAACTGAAATGACTGGTGAATAAATCTAGAAATAAAGGACATAACTACGATCAAATTAGCCGATACCGCTCTTCACTTGATTGGCTAATATCGGCTTGTTGATAAATCGGTTGTTTCTCATCTTCACCATCGATAGTAAAACGGTCAGTGGCTCAATGACCTCATTAACCACGTTTAGAGCGTACGGACTCTCCAAACCTCGAGTGGAAATTCATTTTTGAGTTGCACTGTGGATCCAAGGTTTAAGAGGAGACCAGATACTGGATGTTGGGCTTCAGACTTTTCACTCACCGTGAGCATCTTTTAGATTGAAGTGTTGGGAGGAGCAGATGAGGACGGACACGCCGACCTAAAGGAGATGTGGAGTCAATTGAACTGCATTTTAAGATAATGAGGCGCTCAAAGACAACAAGATCATTTGTAGAAATATAAAAATAAGTTTGTTAAGAATCAAGCAGCAGAAACCAAGTGTAAAGGACATTTTTAATCAATTTTTATAAACCAACATATTTAATTTAGCAGCATAACCGGATGGTCTTGAGGTATATCTAAATCCATACTCTGAATTTTCATCCCCATCCTCCCCTCAGACATTCATCCAGACAACACATTCACACAAACTCTGCACATACACACAGCCTGACACACTCATACTGGAGCGTTTTCTCGGTAGACAAAACACACACACACACATAGACAGACACACATTTTGAGTCCTGTTGCCTCAGTCTTGGACTGAGCAGAGCTGGCTCCCTCGTAGTGGCTTGTAAGGCAGGCACACTTAATGGTGCAGTTTTGGCTGTGAGGAAAAAAAAAAAAAAAAAAAAAAAGAACATTTGAGTCAGTGCTTCCATTTTGACGACTGGTTTATAAATTAGCTCAAATGTGAAATCAGCGGCGGAATAAACAAACTGACCACACAGTGGGTCAAAAAATACAGCCTGAGAACATGAAAAGAAACAGAAACATACTGGACACTAAAGAAATCTGTGGAGTAACTTGGGCGTAAGTGGGGTACACTACGAGATAATCGGGCAGATTTTGGACCCCCCCCCCTCTCAACCAACGTCTGCAAAGGCCCGACTATCTGAGGGATCCAAAGATTATCTTGCCAGATGTTCCTGTGGTGTGAGGAGCGTGAAGAGTGATTTTTAACCTCCCCAATCTGCATGGAAGAGGATTAGAAATCTGAAATCGTATATTTCAACGAATTCAATATTTCTGATCAGTAATCCTGATGTGTGGGGGGGGAACACCGAGGAAGGCCGAGCACGCACTCTGTGGAGTGTCATGAGGAACGGAACAATAGCCAATAAAGGAAGCAAGCTGACTGAAGCAGGAAGCACAACAAACATCACCATGGCGACGACAGCAAACACAAAGCATATGGATGTCATAAATGTAGGACCAACTTGTTGTTTTGTTGAGTGTTTATACAACGTGTCTGGAAACTAAACCACAATCCAACTGAAGAGGACCAAAATGTTTAGCCGTTTGATAGCCATGTAGCTAAAGCTTGCTAATGCTATGCTAACAAAGCCAGCTAGACAACAATAATATGCATGTGAGATCACGTTTTTTTAGGAGGGCCACTCGACAAGCCCCTCTGGGTTTATTTGGCTCCTCCAGGACATTTCTTTCAAAACGTTTATTTTGTTAATTAACTAATCATTATGTACTGTCTGTTTTTTCATTCATCTATTATGTTTATGTTTATTTTGTGCAATAAATAAAAAAAAGAAGAAGAATGAGTGATGCACACCGGCCAGCAGCTGGTGAGGGAGGTCTACTGCAGGCGCTCTACATGTGGTTAATGAGCGTGCTGTGCGAGGATTAAAAGGGTGTGGTCGACCGCCTCAGGGATTCAGCCGCCAAATTGACTGTGACTCCGTCATTGTTCAAAGAATTAAGTCAAGGACAGAAAACATTCGCTTTACTCGTCCTCTGGTATCAAAGCACCTCTAACAAAAGTGAATCAACGTAATCTACGAGGACGGTTTGATCTGACTCTGATGTTTTATCGGCGCAGACAGGATAGTGTGAGTGTCTATGAGTGATGGGCAGACGAGGAGTCAATCATCGATTCTCACAGAGGAAAGCTGCACACCATAACTTTAAACTCTTTGTCGTTTCTCTACCTCTAACTCACCTTCTGTGTGCCCAGTTTCTTCTCCACGCCCCCGGCCAGACCTCCACTCTTACTCTCCTTCCACGGGTAGAAGTTGGAGCGCGGGGTGGAGGAGGTGGCAGAGCTGGAGGAGGAGGACGAGGAGGGCAGGCGGTGCGCCGAGGGTTTGGAGGAGGGCGAGTGCTCCTCCATGCTGCCCCCCTTGCGTTTTTTCACCAGCCCCTGGTGCTCAAAGCTCCTCCCACCGCTCTGCCCATGCAGTCCTGAGTCCCCCACGCCGCTCCGGCTGTGGGAGTTGTTGGTGGCAGAGGAGGAGTCCGGGGACGCCGAATGTCCCAGAGGAGTGTGTGTTGTTCGTCTGTAAGTCCAGACCGCCTTGGCGGCCGGCGAGTGCGATTCTGAGGGGGAGGGCTGGGGGCGGGGTTTGCTGCTGGGGGAAAGAGTTCCATTGGTCTGTCCGTGTGGGAGGGGCGAGGAAATGGAGGGTTTGGAAGATGACGACGAAGAGGAGGAAGAAGCGGTGGAAGGAGGGCGGCCCCTGTCCTGGAGGAGTATGCAGTTCCTTTCGGGGCCTGAGTGCTCCCCTTCCTGCGACGGGGCTTTGCGTTTGCGGAGCGCGGCGGCGGCGGCTGCCTCCTCTCGAAGCTTCAGCGTCTGCTTGCTGGGGCGTCCCACAGGGTTTTTGAGTCTCCCAGAACCCCCCTGACGCCCCGTCATAGGCTTACTGGGAGACCCCATATGGCTGCTAGTGATACTGCAGCTTCCGCCCCCCGAGTTCTCTGACGGTATGGCTGTCGGGGTTCTCCCTGGTCCACGATTGGAGGAGGAGGATGCAGTTTTGAGAGAGGAGCTGATGTGACTTCCTGTTCGGATCTTTGAATGTAATGAGGAAGCTGCAGAGGACGGGGACGACGACGAGGTGACGGTCTTGGCCGAGGGAGGTGGCGATTGAAGGTCTGTGGCTTGAGGTATTTTCCTGCAGAAGAAAAAAAAAACAATTCATTATTAAACAGACGGATCGCTATTGACTTTAAACTTTAACATACAGGATGATCCCGGTGTTCTAACATTTTTAAGGGAGGCGTTTTAACCCCAAAATAAGAAACAGATAAAATTCAAATAAATAAGTCACACTCTCCTCCTATTGTCCTATCCAATGAAGGCAAAATTGAAAAAAAAATTAAAAAAAATAATAATAAAAAATAAATAAAATAAATAAAATAAATAAAATAAATAAAATAAATAAAATAAATAAAATAAATAAAATGCTTGAATCATCTCTTGTATGCTAACATTGAGTTAACTATGGGCTGCAAAACAAAAAAAGAGTACATACAATATGTGTGAAAATATGAATACATCTGAAATACAGAATGCTGATCTTGGTCAAAAAAGCATAATTTTGTGTGAAGGATCAACTGATGACTAACCAGCCGCACTGCAGCACAGATTTCATAGTGACTCGGTTACTGCTTCCCTCTGATGCTTTGAGTTTTCTTTCTAAGCTTGTCGTATAAAATGCAGTCAGACGACATCAGCTGATTTTTCTTTTTGTGTGAAATCAGTCTCCATCTCAGTGCCAACTTCTTACTCCTCGCCGCTGCTATTCTGGGCTGCAGGACTCACCATCTGCTTCATCCATCAGTGACTAAGCAAGCGAGATACACTCATGTTCATCTGCTAGTGTTACCAAGACGCAGCATCTGATTGAACCGACCCTCGGAAAATGACTGTGTGGGAAAAACCTACATGGAAACCTGAACCAAGTGAGAAGGGATGGGAAGGTTACACTTTCACCCATTATTTTATTCTCCTGCAACCGAAGCAAACGGAACAAAAAAAAGAAAATATCTAGAAAATGACCGCCGTTTAAGGCAACAATGTTTATGACCCTGTGACGCTTCACCTTCAATCTGAATGTCGAGGAGTAGTAATGGAGGGAGGATGTGATCCCCCCTCGGTACCGTCTTCAGAGGTAGTAAGAGAGGCGTTACAGAGGTGAGACTGGATCAGCTGAGCAGGGGAAGTGCAGCGCGCTCTGTGTGTGTGTGTGTGTGTGTGTGTGTGTGTGTGTGTGTGTGTGTGTGTGTGTGTGTGTGTGTGTCTCCCGCTGTAGCATGCTTCTGCAGTGATTAAACACAATGTGAATTCACAGACTGGGACACCAATGTTACCCCGTCTCTGAATCAATATGAATGTACAAAGACGTGATGACGGCTGAGCTTAGATACGGCACTTCTGTGAATGAAAGCATGCATTATTATTATTATATTATTATAAAAAGGTCTGAAGTTTGATGCTATAAATTCTGGTGAGTGTCTTTTTGTCTGTCAACATTAATGTGCACCGTGAAGGCAGAGCAAAGTTAATGTGAATGAGATACTTTCACACTCACACCTGGAAAAAGTTATTGATTGGACCAGACTACTGTAACCTGCATAAAATAAAAGCCCCCTCTTGCCTTCAGCGTGGCTTCTTACTGCTTTTTAACAGACGGTCTCAGAAGAATGAGATTTTACTGATCACATTTTGAGCAACATGACAGAAATGTTGACATTTAATGAGCCATTTTACGTTTTTTTTTAATACATAAGCTGTTTACTTCAAGTTACATTTTGCAATCCAAATTGTTATTTACATGCTTGAAATAAAGACAGAATTTATTCTTTCAATCAAAGGGATCCATGCTTTTGGCAGTGACGCCCCCGTTGCTTTAGGATGATATGTCTGAAGACTAAAGACTTGGAGAATCAGTGCAAACTTTGAAATCTGTTTCTGTGGGTTTGGGTTTCTTACTTCCAAAGATGAGCGCTGATGTGCTGCTCCAGCATGCTGCTGAGCGCCGACCTCAGGTGATGAAGTCTCCTGTCAAACGTGAAGATGCCGTGACCCAACGCATGGCTGCCAAACGAACACATCTAGAGGAAGAAACCAATAGCAGACTTGTTAAGAACCTGTTACAGCAAAGTGTCTCCTGTTGTTATCTGTAACGGTGGTGACTTCAAAGCAACTCAAATGTTTGACAGATTTGCAGTTTCTCGTTTCTTGGCACGGTCTGTAGAATTCCTAAACATTGTCCGTCATGATTTAACATAAACACTCTCTCACAGTTCATCCTGAAACCAAAGGTAGTGGAGGGATACAAAAATTGAAAATGGAAGCAAGGACCAACAAAAATCAGAGACAGCGCTGTCAGCAGCGGTCAGGTGTTGAAAGCTCGCTCTCTCGTTTCCCTGCCGAGGACGTGCAGGAGGGCGCACGCTCCACTGAGCAGCTCTGCTTGCACAGACAGGATTTGTTACAATCATTCCTCACACGAGAGTCACCTGTGAGCTCATCACAGGTTACAATGTCCTCAGTGTGTGACCAAACTTTCATAACCTAAACAAAAACTACATCTGACGATAAACACAGCGGGTGGATTGGGATTGTGTGTCGTATTGTTTATCTTTTTGCACATCAGGTAGTTAAACGAGATACTAGTTTCTCTTTGTCTGCCGTGTCTGTTGAACCACATGTCCTGATATTTCAGCCGCACAACACAGACAGCATGAAAATTTTATACGTGTACTCTAAGCGCTTCTATCAGTTATTTTTAACCTCCTGGTCATGAGCATCATGTTCTGCCATCAAGCCTCTGACCATGATTTACAACAGAGCAATCAAGATGGTAGACAGGAAGTCGATAAGGTCGCATCCTCGTCTTGTTTTAAATAAGTTCACTTTTGATTTGCTTCTCTGAAAGTCATCCAAAGAGGACTCCGTCTCGTGGTCATGTGTGATCTTGCTCTTCCTGTTTTCCTTTCTTACACTGCATGCATTTCTGCAGCTGAAACACTAAAAAAACATTTCTCCCTCCACTGTTAAACTCTGGTGCACATTGCTCACCGCCAGCGGCCTCGGATGTGTGGCAGAAGACGAGAACTCGACGTGCTCCTCGGCTCCTTCTGCGTCGCTTTCGTCGCTGGAGATCCGTCCTTGGACGAGAGGCGAGGGGGATCGGAGGCTCCCCTCATCCTGCCGCTGATTCTCCTCCTCTGGGGTGCTCTCCGACGCAGCCGTGGACCGACTGTAACCCAAAAAAGAATCAAGGTTTTTATACATAGAATACACATTAAATATGCAACTGCTCACTGGATCCTTCTCTCAATATCATACAAGTATTGGAGGTGCAATCCAAGGTCACTCAAATCCAGGAACAGGGTCAAGTCAAGACCCTCAGCCCTACATGGCCCTGCTCCATATCAACATTTATCCCTAATGCATCTTTTTGATTTGATAACGCAGAAATAAAAGTGTCTCAAAAGACTCTCTGAAAAGCTAAAATATGAAAAACATTTTAAACATAAACGACGTGCAAACCTCGGACCCATCAATCATGAGTCACACTCTTGACCCAATCAGATGAAGCCCTAGCTGGCCGTTAGCTTTCCTCAGATTAATCAGTGATGATTAGTTATATGCTTGGCTAGCGAGATGTTAAGGAAGGAGAAGTGAAAAAGAACAGCGCTGCAGCTTCACAGATTATTTTGCATTAGAAAAGAGGACTTGTATTAAACACGGGTAGCGTATAAAACATGCAGCTGGTTATTACACACTCGTCATCAGATGATAGTGCACATAAAAAGCTTTGTCTGCATACTGTGCAGGGCCTTAAATGTTAACCTAAAGATGTTGCTGTTTAGGATCTTCAGCAGACAAAAGGATGGTGTAGGACGAGTTATTGAGAGAACCACACACACACACAGGTCTGAAACTGACTGCAGCTATATTTGGTTATTACGTAACAGAACGCTTTGTATTTCTGGGGTTTAATAACGAGCAGAGTGGAGTCTGTGAATGCCGACAACTTGGTTTATTCTCGGCAGTCAAAGCGTGAGAGTTCAACATTACTTCAGTTCACTGTCAGGAAACACATCTGGAGGTAAAACATGGTACAAAATTCCCCCAGCCTGGTTCATCACTTCTGCAGGACGAGTTAGTTTGTAACTGAGGAAAGATAATGTGAAGTTGTAGAATGTCTAAAGAAAGCTGCTAGCATGCACGCTCACGCTGAAGTCTCACCGGGATGTTTCAGTAAATCTGACTAACCTGAACGCGGGGAGGCTGGCCAGAGGTCTCCTGCAGTGTGGAGCCCCCGCCTGCTCCCGGGGGGCCTCTGGGCTGGGGGATCGTCCAGAGGAGGAGCCTCCATCCAGGGACTGGCCCCCTTTCTCGCGGACCTTGGTCTTGAGTTCGGCCACCAGCTGGTCAAAGTTTTTACTGCGGCCCATCACCTTCCTGCGCTGGTGGATGGAGTGGATCTGCAGGGGAACAAAAACTCCTTTACACTCTGCACATACAAATCAGCATGTCTAAAAAATATGTCACATGACCATGAATCTTAGATTGCATTGATTTTGGGGATATGAAGCATTTGCAAAATTAATTGCAATAAACAAAATGACCAACGTCGGTGTAAACTGACCCTTTCTTTTGCAAGGTTTGCTTTTGTCAGATGATATATGCCTCTGGGATCGATGGCCATCTTTACCATAATCCCAGTGAAGCCACCATTTGGCGTCAAACAACTTCAAGCCGAGGATGTCTTTCATGTGCACTGCGTCGTTCACAGTCGAGTCACCGACTTAAGAAACGCCCTTTGTAGAGCAAAGTTATAATCGCCCCTTCCAGATATGTCAGCGTGGCTTCCTTCAGTGTTGTCGTATCGAGAAAAGATTCTGATCGTGTCGTGATCTTAACATGCATTTCTTCCTCTACTATGTTCTTTACGGTAAAACATGTTTTGGATGTGGACCTTAAACTGGGGTGGTGCATGCGCATGTTTCTAATGAAGGGAGACTTCCTGGATGCTAGAGCAGCGGTCTGTTTTCCAAACTGCGAGGTGAATAAAGTCTCTGAACTGAACAAACATGACAGAACATCATGAGACAGATTCAGGTCCGTCCTCAACAGAAGAAAACAACTTTTAAAATGTGTGTTTGTTGAATGGAGGTCGGATCGATCATTTTCTGATGCGTTCCAGGAAGTTGGTAAATCTGAACACTAATCGGCGACACTGAAACAGCAGACTAAAGCCGTAGTCACTTATTTACTCCAGACAAGGAGCTGAAGAAGCTGGCGAAGCAGCACAATCAGCTACACGACGCTATAATGAGAACAGGAAACATGCAGCAGCAGGTCCATTAGAGCACGGAGATGGTAGAGGCGGCGTGCAGACAGTCTATGGTCGTGCAGCGATCACAGGGAATAAACGTCACCCCCCCCCCACTCGCTCCAGGTGAATTCTCCTGATTATATCCTGCTGCGTTCTCACTTCAGCTCACTCTGACTTTCTGCAGAATAAATACGAGGAGGCTGGAGGAGAAACTCCGGGTGAAGTCAGAGTTTGCATTCACACATGCAGCTTTTCCTTTTCAGGATGTTTGTGCATGTGTGAAAGCATTAGAAATGTCAAGGGATTCTAGTAGGTTCAAACAAAGTCAACAACCTGAATCAGCAGGAGCAAGCTTCTCTTTCATCTTTTTTTATCTGATTAAAATGTTACCATCAATGTTAAAAAAAAAAAAAAAAGGGAAGTATATTGAAGTGGCTCCATCAAGTATCCCTTCTGACGTTATCATTGAACTAATCCATCAGTGTTACTGACTTGATGGCGTTTGTTCTTCCTTTAAGCAGGTGAAGGAGAAATGACAGCCGCCCACTGAGAGCCCGTTCACCTACAGGTCAGGTGTGAGATGAAGGTTGTTTTTTCCCGTCACTCCTGTCATTTCCTGTTTGAATGTCATCCTGCCTCTGCTCGGCTGGATGTGGCCTCTCGCACTCACTTCCTCCTTCACACAACAGCCTCCATATAAGGACTGTTCCCGTGCCGGGAGCCATTTGCAGCTCTCAGTATCAGTCAGAGCGGATCAGTACACCTCCTCTGATCTCACGTTCACTTTCCTCCTGCTACAGAATAGGCTCCATACTTAAGATGCTTTGAAATGGCACATTTTTAAACAATGCAATCTCTGTTATTTCATCAGTTTTTATGAACTTCAGTCATATTTTCACACAAAGCTGTCGCGACTGAAAGACACAGAGAGGAGTGGTTGTCTATTCAAATTCACAGGTCGACAAACACAGAGGATTCTCAAGTCCTTAAAGCGTCTCGTTAAGATGCAGAAGTTTAATTAATGTCTTCCATATGAACATTTATTTAACATGCTGAAGGGATGATCTACACTGAGCGAGTACGATGTTCAGAAGGGAACAAATATGACTTCACTTCAAGGAAACAAAAAATACTTTTATGAAAGATGAAGATGTAATTAGTGGAGACAGTCAGTGTTGCAGTCAAGACCACGCTAACCGAGACCAAGACAGACCAAAGACCAGAGCGCTCCAAGGCTGAGACAAGACCGAGACATTTAGGGATCGAGACTGAGTCAAGACCAAGACCAAGACATTTAGGGGTTGAGACAGAGTCAAGACCAAGGAAGGGCGAGACCGGAGTGTGCCCAGTCTGAGATCGAGACAAGACCGAGTAAAAGTGCTTTAGAGTCAGAGACCTTCAAAAAGTGGTCTTGAGACCTTGAGTACTACAACACTAGGACAGTCAGGGTAAATCAACGATGATCAGGGCACAGGTTGGGCGACCCCCAGAGGAGGCAACACATGAAGGACAACCTGTCTGTCCATCTGTCCTTCAGAGACCTGACACTGCGTCTGCAGAGAGAGTCACTGTCTGGTTTCAAAACTGTAAAAGTATTTCCTACTCAGACTGACAAATCCTAGAAACACACAAAGAAGAAGCAGAAGATTGTTTTCAAAGTTCCCGTCTGTGTTGATCGTCGTCCTAAAAGCTCAAACAGATGGTTTCTGTTAAGCTTCATCAACAGACGCTGTTCAGACTCTCTCTCTCTCTCTCTCTCACCCACCGATCATTTATCTCCCTCCTTCCTCTAGAAATATAAACCAATCGTATTCAATCACGATCATCAAAAATGCAGGAATTTTCTTTTGACAGAATCCAAACAGCAGATCTCAGGAGAGTGAGAGTGTTTGTTTTTTAACTTACATTGCATGTCAGGAGGCGAGTGCAGACCTTCTTCCTGTCCGGGTCGAGGACGCCGCAGTGTTTGTCCAAGTCACACTCCCGCTCTGAGGAGACACGGAGAGAATCTCATCAACATCAACAACAACACATACAACAAGACTCAGAAACATTTCAGTATCGCTGTGCTCCCACACGAAGGCTTTCTCTTAAATATCAAGACTTTTGCATATTTCACACATGAATTTGTTATAGAAGAAGGTGTTTCATTTAGACTCTAACAACGCGTCCTAACAGCACGCGAGTGTTGGACGTGGCATTGTGCACGATCACACGTTTGCTGTTCACGCTGCATCAATTAAATATCAACCTCTCTGCTCTGAGAAATTCAGTTTTCTCTTCTTTTTTTTTTTCTCTTCCAAAAAGTTTGACGTCTAGTGCTTTTATTTTGAAGGTGCACAAAAGGAAGTGTGGTGCTTTGTATTGACGATCTGATGACTCAAAACACAGCACCCTAAAGGCTCGTCAATTTACGGATCTCAGTGAGCCAAAAAAAGGTTTTCTCCGCTGTTGACACAAGTCAGAGCTCAACATTTCAAACGGGTGTGGATATTAAAAATGCATCGCTATCTCCACTTTGTAAAACAAGCTAACGAGCTCCGTTGATTGAGAAAAGAGCCCCCTCTTTCCTCCTTCCTTGTCTGTCTACGTCTGATTTTGTTGCCGACGCTCGCTCGTGTCGTGTGCAGTTAGGACAGGCAACACACCGCTGAGATTTTAGGAATTCATCAGCAAAGACAGTTAAAAGTTTCGGCCTTGATTTACACACTTTAAGATCTGTTCTCTGCTGCTGTACTTGCATCCTTATCGCAGCCTTTCATTTTCCTCAATCTTGCACCTCCTCGTGTCCCCTCTCTTAACAGTCTCCCTGACCACGACCCCCGAAATCTCTCTCAGCGCCCATGAACGCAGCTCCAGGAGGAGAAGGAGCAGTTAGAAAGTGTTGCCAGAGGAGTTCTGAGATAAGACGCTCTGAGGATGTTCATCCTGTGCAGGAAGTCTTTTCGGCCTCCATGACATGTGAACTCTATTGTACTCGTTCCCTCATGTAGAAACACATTGTCATGAACGCTGTAATGATCACCTGACAGATTGTATAATTCAGCTGGAAGCTTCATAAAAACAATCAACTGAAGAAGCAGCTGTGCCTCATTTCATGTTTAATTAACTCCTGGTCGACAATGACAGCTCTGTAGCAGAGATGTCGGATTTCCTAAGATGCCCGTTGCTTTGATTCCTCCGTCTCGTGTCTCTTCCTTCCCTCCTCCGCTTTTTCTCTCAGGTGGGAGGGACTGAGACACGAGGAGAGGAGAGGGGGGTAGAGGAGAGGAGGAGAGGAGAGAGGAGGGGAGGAGAGGAGACAAGGAGGGGAGGAGAGAAGAGAACACGAGAGGGGGGAGAGGAGAAGAGAGGAGAGGAGAGAAGGAGATGAGAGGAGAGATGGGAAGAGGGGGGAGAGGAGGTGAGAGGAGAGGAGAGGAGAGAGGAGAGAGTAGGGGAGGGAGGGGAGGAGAGGAGAGGAGACAAGGAGGGAGGAAGGAGAGGGGGAGAGGAGAAGAGAGGAGAGGAGAGATGGGAAGAGGGGGGAGGGGAGAGGAGAGATGGGAAGAGGGGTGAGGGGAGAGGAGAGGAGAGGAGAGGAGACAAGGAGGGGAGGAGAGAAGAGGACACGAGAGGAGAGGAGAGGGGGAGAGGAGAGGAGAGGAGAGGAGAGGAGAGGAGAGAAGGAGATGAGAGGAGAGGAGAGGAGAGGAGAGGAGAGAAGGAGATGAGAGGAGAGATAGGAAGAGGGGGGAGATGAGAGGAGAGGAGAGGAGAGGAGAGGAGAGGAGAGGAGAGGAGAGAAGGAGATGAGAGGAGAGATGGGAAGAGGGGGGAGATGAGATGAGAGGAGAGGAGAGGAGAGGAGAGGAGAGAAGGAGATGAGATGAGAGGAGAGGAGAGGAGAGGAGAGAAGGAGATGAGAGAGAGGAGAGGAGAGGAGAGAAGGAAAGGAATCTGAAATCTAAAAACAGAGAAACGTGGAGATGCTACCCTGTGTTCAGATGTGATTCAGCTTTTGGGTCATTTGAATTCACTCACACAGCCGTCTCATCAACTTTCAAACAGCTGATTCTTTCTTTGTGGATTGTCGAGACAGTGTAGAATAAAGAAAGCTTGTTGCCATGACACCCTCAGGAGTTGGTAAATCCCGCCTCTGAGTGTCATAATGTTTCTCTTGTAAATGAGGAGAAGCTTCCTGGTTGTCAAAATGATCCATCCTTCATTGCAGTGGAAAACTCTAAAAGGAGATCTATTCTGCTGCTCCATATTTAAATATCGTGTTACGATGGTGGATGTCCGCACTAAACCTCAGCAGAGCTACATAGACGTGGTTTTGCTGCCGCTCAGAACGAGATGTTTCCAGAACTTGGCGAGAACCTGACGTCAGGTTCTGCTGAAGTGTCAGAGCAAAGCAGGGAGTAAAGCTGTAGGACACGCCCACACAAGCAGCTCTTTCAAGGACACGCCCACCAGGAAGCTCACTCAAGTGTCCCTGCGACTTCAAACAGAGCTGGCCAATCGGAGGACAGGAAGTGTGAGGGGAGGCGGGCCTTAAAGAGACAGCAGCTTGAATTGACCGTTTCTGGCAGAGGCTGAAATTTGGGATTTTACAGACGACAGTATCAGATAAATAAGGAGGTTTTTTTTTTTTTTTTAGCTACACATCTCACAACGCTGCTCAACAGGCGTCATCACGTCATTAAAGCTGAAGCTGAGTGTAATAGATCTCCTCTAAAAGATTGTGCGTCTATCGTACGACTTTTATTTTAGTTTCAAATTTTGCCAACGTCATTTCAAATTTCTAAATTCAGGTTTTGTGACAGCCCTGTTTTATTTAAACAGCATGCCTCACCCAAGAGGCTCCTGATTGGCTCATCGTGATCCCAAACGTACAAATGAGATGAAACAAAACAAAACTGGTCGGGTGCTAACCTCGCTTGTACTTACTGGAGGCCACTTTGTTGTAAGGTCGGGGGATGCGGTGGCTCTGACCAGCAGACGACAGAGGCGAGTCCTTCCTCGGGCCCTGTTGTGACGGCGGTCTGTCGCTGGGCGTTGGTCTACCTGGCGGGGTTCCTCCGTGGGCCAGGGCGGATCTCTGAGTGAGGGAGGCGGAGAGCTGATCGGAGGCTCCAGAGGTGGCGGCTGTTTGAATACTGATGACTCTGTGTGGCTGCTGTGAGAGGATTTCTCCAGCGGGGAATGTCTGAGTGATGAAGAGAGAAAAGAAAATCATTCAACTTACAGGATGAAATTCAAATAACGGGAAAATAACATTATCTCACTATTACATCATAGGCTGAAAGAGCTTTTCAAATGCATTCAGGGCAATTCTGATACCCTGATTACCAAACCTTTTACCTGTACTTCTGTTCTCAAGGTAATTATTTTTAAGAAGCTCGTCTAAGGATGACGAGAAAAGCTTTTTATATTTTCAACCATGCATTAAACTTAATTCCATAAAATTGTCCTTCTGCATCATCCTCTCTGTCTTTTTCTATAACAAGTTTGATCACCTGTAGGTTCAGGTCAACACAAAACGACCCCCCCCCCCCCCCTTATGGTGCCAAGAAATAAACACTCCACAGATGTTTTACCTAAGGTGCATGGCAAACTGATGCTGACAAACAAATGAGAATCAGTCAAATTTGCCGCCTGAATTCGGCTCTCCAATTTTAAGCAGTTTTTGTACGAGATTATGAAACAAAGACGCAGCTATTTACGGGCTACTTCTCTGCACCAGTAACTTCATGCTGCGGACAAGAGGTCAGGAGTTTGCCGCTAGAGGTCAAGAAAAAAAGTCCAGCACATAATCCGCTCGTTAAGCTGCAAGTGTTGTTTTTATAATTTGGGTTTTTTTTGTGGGGATTTGATCAAAGTGTTAACTACTGAGCTTCAGAGAGGATTGTAGGCAGATTTTGTTTAACCTTAAGAAGAGAGGACGTTCTATATGCAAAGTTAACTAGACTCTAAAGTCTTAGCAGGAAAATAAAAACGAAACATTTCCAAACATGTTGAACTATTTGTTTTTCAGATGTTATAAAATCACTTCTACACAAACATACACTAAAAGGCTTTTTAAATGGTGGCCAGCTGAAGGAAGTGTTGACTTAATGCAACACAAGACTAGACTGCATTTTCATACTGTTTTTCTTATTCAATAATTTCTCTGACAGATTTCATCATCTACAATGTTTGCCAAATGTGTTCTGACAAGCTTGTGCTCGATACTGATAGAATTGATCTGTTGCTGAAATTCATTTCAGTCATACTTCCTCCTCAAGTTTGCGCAGGTGACCTGATGTCGTTATGAAGTCAAAGTTCATGATCTTCTTCTGACTGCTCTGAGGACTCTCACAGACATTACCGTTCAAAAACAAACTTGATAAATATTTACTCATGATGGTGACACTGGATGTTGGATTAAATATTTGACATGAGGGGGGAAACTCTGACTTCCTCAAGCTGCTCTGTCTGACCTCTGATATGTACAAGTATCCTGATGAACAGTTTACGACTTGTGGCATTAAGCTTCTGAATCGGACTGGAAGCTCTGGGCGACCCGCTGAGTGGAGCCGTTTCTTCTGATAGCACAGGAAAAGGATGTGATCAGGTCCAGGGTGAACCGTCACAGCTAGCAGGAAGCAGCAGCTAAATAAGAGTCGGGCAACTAAACATGAGAATCACCCACAGAGGCCTCCCAGATGAAGACACAGGGAGGCTTTAAACCTGTCAAGAAATCCACCTCGCTACCATGACAACAACCTCAGTTTGTTCACTATTGAGCGTAGGCTTTCTGTGCCGGAGAAACACAAACTTAAAACCGTTTGAAACTGGCTGAAATAGGCTATTTATGTCCCTTCTTTCTTACCGTACTCCATCCTTGGAGCTCTTGGAGTGTCTGTACTGTGGCGGCGTGGAAGGCGAAGGCGGCGCGGCCCGCGGCTGCCCAACCCCCTGGCCGCGACTCTCCCAGGATGAAGCGGCAGAGGCAGCGGTGTTGGTCCCATGGGAAGGAGAGTGGCTGTGGTGGGGTCTCTGCTGGGGCTGCGGCGCAGGGGTGGGAGAGCGCAGGCGGGCGTACAGCTTGGACAGGGGGCCGTGCCGCCGCTCGCAGTGCTTCTCAAACGCCTGCGGCTTCACCACTTGGCCGCAGTGGCTGCACACCACCAGGTAGAAGTCGTCGTGGCCGGGGTAGAGCCCGAAGATGGACATGTCTGGAGGGGGGAGAGAGGGGAACGGAGGACGAGTGAGGAGAGGAAAGAGAGTGGAAAACGTTTCTTTAAGGGGACGTCAGGGAAGACGCTACGCTCTAAAAAGTTTCTGTTTTTTAATTTCTGTGAAATTGTAGAACATATAGCTGGACGTTTTATAAAGTACAGTTTAAATGCTCTCACACTGTCCGAGTGCGTTTCCATCCCTGTAACGGTGAATATTCACCCGTCTATACGCCCCAAAAAATACCACAAATAAAAAGAATGTGTGATCTGTGAAGTAGTTTTTAGGGAAACACAAAGCCTATTGTTGTCGTGGTTGGGTCCGGCTTGTCTCCTCCAGCTGCGGTCAGACCTGGGTGGAGGATCATTTTAACCTCAAACAAGTTTGGTCACAGGATAATTTGTGCTCTTCGGGGCCTTTGTGAGTCACAACCCACAAATAAGCATCCTCCAGGACATGGAAAAAAAAGAAAGCCTTCATGTCTTTGTTCTTGACATCATCCAGATTTTTACAAAAGCTCAAATTAGTAGTGATAATGAAGGTGTATTTCTCCAACAGAATAAGTTAGGAGAAGGAACGGGGGGGATGGATCGGTATAAATGTTTGTTTGAAATAACTTAAACAAATACCTCAAAAGATGTAACATTAAGCTTTTTTATCCAGAGTTCCTGGAATAGCCAAAAAGGCAGCGGCATGTTTTTTTTTTTTTTGGACAGAACCAAATAATACAGACACATCATTTTGGGGGGGGGGGGGTAACTCAACTTAGTCTACATCAGTTGTGATGTGTAACGCACTGCCAGCTACGTTGCGTTCACACTACATCAGTCCTTTACCATCCACGATTGTGATGGTGGATCTTATCTCCAGTTCACGAGCCTCTGTCCCTCACAGACTTGCAAACATTGTTTTGGTTGGTTCGAGTCAGCTGACTTCTTCTTCTGCTTCTTCTTCTTCTTTCTGAGTTGTCTGCTGGTGGGTTTCACACACGCCACACCCCTGTGCCGCCCTGTTGGACAGCTGCTGCTTTACACAGCCAGGCCTAGGTTCACACCACCACCCTAGCTTTTCAGCAGCACACCTGCACCAAAAGTGTGCCAGGTGTGCAAGGTGAGCTGATGTGAGAACGACGCAGCAATCAGGAGAATTCACCTGGCGTGAGAGGTAGTGGGGTGGTGACGTTTATTCCCTGTGAACAGTGCACAGTGCAAATATTCTCTTTATATCCGACTGGTTTGTCCACTTCTTCCTTGTTGTTCTTTTGACGTCATAGCTTGCCTCAGGAGACCCCCCCCCTCCCCCCCCCCCCTGCACGCCTCCCGTCTGGCTGTGTGAACAACCAGATCAGGACGGGGCAGTCCTCCTGAAATTCTCGACACATTTTCAGTCGTGCAGTTGTGATTTGTTTAGTGAACAAGGAAAAGCAGATGCTCAAAAGGGAAACATGCAAAAGCACTAAGGTTGTGCAAAATGTTTCGATACTAAAGATACTTTTCGATTGTGTTAAAACGATACAAACTCTATTTTTTTGAGGATCAATAGGAAGTGAAAAAATCAGGTTTGCGACACGTGGGCTGTGCAAACATTGACTTTTTTTTTTGCGAGCATCACATCAGAGTTGAAAATGTGCGAGAACCCTGACGTGCACAGACGATGAGTGTTCTCCCCTCTGTCTGCTAAACGACGGCGTGCAGACTTACCCTCCTTACTGAGTGACATGGCCTCTGCAACCTTTTTGCCATTCTTGCTGCAGTCTTCCCCATCGGGCCCTGAAACATCACACACAACACACATGTTCAAAAAAAAAAAAAAAAAAAAAAAAGCCTCCTTCCTCAAAACCTATACAGGGGTCAAGTTTACCATCAGGCCGCCCCCCCCAAACCCCCCAAACATCACAGGCCCTTAAGCTGTGTTATGTAAAGGACTGATCTTGCAGGGGCAACAACATGCTGCTGGTGTTGTGTTTCCAGTCACTTTCCACATAGTTTGCTGAGCACTAAGAAGATGTTGCACGGTGGAGGAGGGACTTTATTTGGTAGTTACGGACTTGGAGGGATGCCAGACAATGAGAGAGGACTTAAAGCTGGGGAGGGGTAAAGGAGGAGCACTTTTTTTTAAGGCTCAGTGTGTTGAATAGGGGCGACGGCTGTGAGAAGAGGAGCGTTAACATGAAGAACACAGAGTAACGTTAGTCAATGTGAAAAGGCTGGGGCCAGCAGACTCCTCCTCTCAATCCCCTCTGCTGCCAGCTTTAGCACGCTAACGCTCACTTGCCCAGACTGGCTTGCTTTATTGCCACCGAGCTAGCAGCTAGCCTAGCTCTCCACGGCAAGAAGTTGCTCACCCAGGCATCCTCCATACTAGCCTCCTTCCGCTGTGATGCCACCGCTGCCCGGCTGCTTTCACCCCGCAGTCTGCCTGCTGACCACAGCCGCTACACACACACTGCGCTCGGTTATATATCTTTATAAATACGTCAGGTGTGTTTTTTAAAAATCAAAGACAAGGTGTGCAGTGGGACCTGGAAGAGAGAGAGGGAGCAACATGTTACCCACCCAGCGCTAGGACCCGGCAGGGTCTTTGTTTGGGTAACATGGTTAGCTCAGTCCTCCGTTTCCACGGAAATAAACCCCGGTGTTTTTGATTAAAAGGCTTCGTGGCTGCCGGTGTTTGCGTCAGTGTGCTCTCTTACCATCCGCCGCCGCCACACCGGCCCACTCGGCCCAGGCGGTCCAGCTTTGACCCACGAAATCATCGAGGCTAGGCACCCGCCGATCAAGAGCAGCCATTACTTTTACTGCGCGTTCACGCACCGCCATCATCACTGCGCGGGAAGCAGCTTACGTCATATTGCGCGCTCTCGACGGGATAGGAACTTCCTGCGTGCGCGTGCTTGGGACACCCACACACACACACACACACACACACACACACACAAAGAATATAATAGAAATAGAAATAGAAATAGAATAGAAATAGAATAGAATAGAATAGAATAGAATAGAATAATAAAGTTTATTTATAAAGCACTTATCAAAACCAACGTCACAAAGTGCTTTACAGAAAAAATAAAAAATCCCAACAGTCAAATACACAACAATAAAATCCAATTAGAAAAGCATGAAAAATAAAACAACAGTTCAGCGATCATCCAATGAACAGAGAAAAAGGGAAACAACCGAGACAAAGATTGGCTAAAGTTAACAATAAAACACCCTGGAGGAAACAAGGATTATAAGAAGGCCTTATGATAAAAATGTGTTTTTAAAAGTCATTTAAAAGAAGATACTGATGTAGCTAGTCTGAGATCCTCAGGCAGGTCGTTCCACAGCCGAGGAGCCCGAGCTACAAATGCTCGATCTCCTAGAATAGAATAGAATTACTTTATTGATCCCAAACTGGGAAATTGTGGCGTTACAGCAGCAGGTTGTCCAAACACACAATATGAGTAAAAAACACAAAGTTAGCAAATCTAAACACAAAATAATATTAAATACAAAGTGAATAAGCACTAAAAATATCAAAACTAAGAATGGGAATATATACAACCAGGATTTAACTTAGCATTACTAGTCTGAAATATGAAGATTAGATATGGAAGATTGAATGTAAATGTGCAAAAACAGAGTTGTAAATGGACATTATTGACACAAGTTAAAGTGCATGAGTGTAGACATATCAGCAGAAACTATTCAATATAACGGCGAGTAGACAGACAAATGAAGTGAACCTGAAGTGAAAGGAAGACTGAAAACATTATTTTCCGATGAATTATTTTGATATATTTTACTTTCCTGCCTTTTTCCCTCTCTGATTTATTTATAGATGTTATTTAACATTTAATATGCTGTTAAATTTGTTATGTCATATCTGTAACTCCATTTATTAATGTATAAATCACATTTTTTCTACAGTTAGTTCAATGTCTCCCTTTACTTCTTTTGTGCTAAATTAATTTTAAAAGTACTTTAATAATAAAAAACGATTTTACAAGTAATATGCCTATAGTACTCATTACCAAAAGTACATAATTAGAGTTATAGCCTAAAAAGTGACATACTGTATTATGACACATAATACACAGTAACACCATACTGTTCTAATGTCATAACAGATTTTCATCTTATGACTCTCTTCCTCTAAAATGCACCTCTTGCTATATTATAGGGCTCAGCGACATGGGCCAAAACTTATAGCTCAATATTTCTAAGCTGCACGGCAATACACAATATATATATCAATATTTTATTGTGTAAAAATAACAAAAAGAAAGTAGTTTCTAAGTCAAATCCACATGGACCACATGTAAAAAATAAATAAACTACCTATTTGTGGGAAAGAAAATGCATTTTGTGATGCAGGTGTTTTTTGAGATTGGCTCAGAGAGAGAGAGAGAGAGAGGCCGAGCAGGCTGAAGAGGGACAGACAGTGAGAGGAGAAGTAGGTGAACTGGAAAAAATCCTATAACTAGGGCTGGAAATCTTCGGGTGTCTCACGATTCGATTTTGATTCTTGGGGTCAAGATTCGATTCTGAATCGATTTTCTATTATCTATTTATGAGTTAGTACATACTTCAGGATCTACTCCAGTCATCTGAGAGACTGGCTGAATTTCTTGCTGCTCCATTTGTCATTCTATGGAGTTGAAGAGCTAGCATTAGCACTTAGCAGGGAGTGACTGATTAGCCCCGATATCTTTTTTTAAATAAAAAAACAGATTTTTGGAAGTCATGAATAACTTTTAAATCTTAGAGAGAACAATCTCGAGTTTTCATAAATCTATTTTTACCCCAGCTCTACCTATAACATTATTTTAACACATTAACCAAATCAATATAAACAATATTGTCTGTATCTCATTTAAAACAAAAATCTATACATCTTAAAAACTCAATATATCGCCCAGCCCTACTATAATATACCTCCTATAAACTGTGTGATACACTGCTATCTATAGGCTACTGCTGTTGACAGAACATGTCACTTTAAATCATCACTTTAACTTTAACACACAGAATGTCTTAAAGGTCACATATTCTCCTCCTCTTCAGTTTAAATAAGTCTCAGAGCTCCCCAAAACATATGTGTGAAGCTTCTTGTTCTAAATCCGCTCTGATCCTGTATTTGATCATACAAACCCTTCTATTTCAGCCCAGAAAGACTAGACTGTGATTGGCTATTTGCCCTGTACAAGGCTGTTGTGCAGGAGTTTGCATGCACTTTCTCATGTACTTTAAATTGTGACTGTGAACAAACATTAAGCTAATGTCGCCGTTATCTCCTGATATAAAGTAGAAATGATTTGTGATATTAGAAAGGGTAAATAATGGAGAGTTATTATATATTTATGTGTTTGCGCGCACATCACATTTCAGGCCACCCCTGCATAAGTCAGAGTCCCAGTCAGGCCACCCCAGTCAAAAAAAAGTCTGGACACGCCCCTGTTTATGTAAAATGGTAAATGGACTTGAACTTGTATTTTTTTTTTCTAGTCTTCTGACTACTCAAAGCTCTTTTACACCGCAGGTCACACCTACACATTCACACACTGATGGTAAAGGCTGCTATATAAAGAGTCCATCAGAAGTAACTAATCCCATTCAGTGTGGGAGTGGGAGCAGTTCGTGGTTAGGTATCTTGCCCAAGGACACATCAGACATGTTGCTGCAGGAGCTGGGGATCGAGCCCTCAACCTTACAGTTGAGACGACCCGCTCTACCCACTGATCCACAGCCACCCCTTCCATCAACCGGGATGGATAAAACATAAAAAATAACTCTTAAAAAGAAGTCTTGTGATGTAGTATCACATAGACTCCACGCAGCTTAAAAAATAACCACAAAGATCCAAAACTTTTGTGACGTGCCTGTAGATTTACTGCTGCAGTGGCTTAGTGGTGAGTGCGCACTCCCCATGTACAGAGGCTATAGTCGTCCAAGCGGGCGACCCGGGTTTGAACTTGTGGCTCCTTTCTCTATCCACTGTCCTATCTCGAACGTAAAGGCAGAAAAAGCCCCCAAAAAAATCTTCCCAAAAAATAAAGATCTACCGCTGCAGTCCCAAATCATCCATCTTCTTCATAGCCTATAAACCTACAATCACCCACTGTGGGAGTGTCTTTGTACACTTCTGTTGTCCGCACGCAGCAGATGTGAGTCACCTGACTGGTATTTATGTTTATGTGACTCACGTCGGCAGACATCAGTTGAGGGGTGGGACATGACATGTGGGCCCTGAACTTGTGCATTCATATATTTATTCTCTCTCCAGAAAAGAAAAAAAAACACCGCTCCTCTTCTCGTGGACAGTGACGCTCAGGAAGCACATTTCCTCCAATGATGATCAGAAGTCACAGGTCTGCACACGTGAACACACCTTCCCCTTTCTAATCCTCGCTAAGTAGTTAATCTGCACGCAGTTTAGTCAGAGCTGCGAAGGCGTGATCTCAGTGTACATCACATGGTTAGTGTGTACTGTTAACAGAGTCGTTCAGATAACAATAACAGGAGCAGAATTCCCCCCCCCCCCCGACACAGCCCGCAATGCACCAACAGGTACACTGTATAAACAGGTTGTCATGGTAACTCATAATTCATTGAGTTTTAACGTGTAACAGCGGTGATAACCCAACATTTTGTGTTTGTGTCATCTACACTAATGTGAAGGTTTTCAGTCGTACAAAAAATCAAGAGAAAAAAAAGAGTCAAACTCCTCGCTGTGAGGAGGTTCCTGGTTCGAATCCCCGTCAGACATGACCTTCTCTGGGTACTCCGGCTTCCTCCCACAGTCCAAAGACGTGCTCGTTAGGTTAACTGCTGACTCTAAATTGCCCGTAGGTGTGAATACGAGTGTGGCTGGTTGTCTTGTCTTACGTCAGCCCTGTGATTGAATGGCGACCAATCCAGGGTGTAACCCCGCCTCTCACCCAATGACAGCTGGGATCGGCTCCAGCCCCACACGGCCCCGAATGAAAAGCATTAAAGATGATGGATGGATAAATATATAATAAGACAAGATTCATGATAACACTTTATAAGGAGGGTTATGACATAAGACTGACATGACACCTGTAAATAACATGAAGGAGGCTTTATGAATGTTGTACGGGACTAAAGCCTCTGTACATGGCGTGCGCGCACTAACCACTAGGCTACAGGCGCCCCAGCCCGCTCTGTTCTGCACATGGATTAGTGTGATTTGTCAGCGCCCGTCGTTATTGTTGTTTTGGCTTCCCTTTTTTCACAACAGAAGGAGACAGAGACACGTTGTCCATATTAATATACAGCCACTGGTTCAGACATAAATTCCCTTTGAGGTGAGATAAAACAGCGAGAGTGCAGCGCCCGTACTGCGGGTACTTAGGAGTGCAGTGCAGCATGTGAAAAGACAAAGAAAGGAGACAAAAATCCAGCAGTTGCAGCTCTCATATTTTACACAGGTCAATACAGATGAACCGTTCTGCACAAACAAAGGGATAAAAATACATCAATCCAATATCAATTATTAATTACATAAACATCCAACACATCACTGTGCTCTAATTAACAGATGCATCTTTTCAGAAATTGATTAAACATCTGACTAAATATGTGTCTAATTTCAATGTGGTGTGGAAAATATATATTACTTTAGCAAAAGAGCTCGAAATAACACCTGATGTATTCCCCACCGAGGTATGGTAATAAAGTAAAACAGCTGCACAGAAAGCCCGATAACTCAAATCAAAATAGATACTACGAAGAGATCTTAAGTGCAATGCAAAAAGTCATCAACGACTCTATGCAAAAACCTTCACATGCATGGCATCGTCTTTCAAGTTACATGTAGAGCGGAACTTAAAGGTCACATATCCTCCTCCTCTTCAACCAGTTTAAATAAGTCTCAGAGCTCCTCAAAACATGTGTGTGAAGTGTCTTGTTCTAAATCCACTCTGATCCTGTATTTGATCATGTCTATAAACCCCTCTATTTCAGCCCTGCTCAGAACAGGCTGTTTCTGTGTCTGTACCTTTAAATATGTAAATGAGCTGTATCTGACCACGCCCCCCTCTCTGGAAGGGCTTGGGTGTACTTGGTGCTTTCTAGCTCCATGTCCTATTGTTTACGGTGAGAAACCAGACAAACACCTAGCTGTGGGAGTGTCACCCACCTGGGGTAGGGGTTACTGCCCTTTGTGATGTCATGAAGGGAAAATCTCCAAACGGCCTGTTTGAGCACACATTTTCTGAGCAGGCTAAAGACGGAGAGGATGGACTTTTCTCATCATTGGGGGGTTTGTAGACAGACTAGAGACACATGTTAGAGTTAGAGAAACATGGTGAAGTGGATTTTGAATAATAATATGTGACCTTTAAGGCGGGAGTGATAAAGAAATACAGCAGGATAACATCAAGGCCGGCAAACTAAATGTGCCACTTTTCTTTTTTTCCAACTATCTATGATCACAAGATTTAGTGTAAGGCTTCTTAGTGGAGCAACGGACTCAACAACAAATCTGACAATGTTACAAAAAAAAAGAAAAAATCAAGGAGAAGCTGCACACAGACTGTTTTCCTTGGGTTAATAAAAACAGAAACCCAACATTGGTTTTAAAAAAATATGCAATGGACCAATAATTGTTGGTAAAAATACATATGATCCGTGTAAAAAAAAAAAAAGAAGAAAGTCCCTGCAGGTTAGAGTTTGCACAAATAAGAGAAGAAGGTTTTAAACTAGGATGAGTGTGTTACTGAGGAGAGTAAATGTAACATATTGATGTACAACAGCTACTGTAGTAAACATACAAAGAGCCTGCTTCAGTCTGGATTCAGGCCGAACATTTTAAAAAAAAGACGCCGTCACAACCTCAAAATCATATTCTCAAAGTCGAAGCTGCTTTTGTTGTGTGTGTTATCTTTACAGTGTGTGTTTTTTTTCTCTCCAGCAAGTTTAGCTAAATGAAGTCAAACTACACAGATAGACAGTATTAGTGTGTATTAGTGTGTCTGTGTGTGTGTCAGTAGTGTCAAAGATTAGTGGGTTAAGGCATGGCGGTGATTCAAAACCAAGGAACTGCTTTGGAAGGTCAAAAAGGCAACCGCGTAAACGGGCCACGTTAAAGAAAAAAATAAGTCTCAGTTATGAAGAGAAAAGTTGTAATGTTGAAATCAATGAAGTCGTAATATTTCGAGAATAACTGAAACTAGTGAGATGCTTCACGTTCCTGATTTTAGCGCAGGCGGCTGGCTTCTCTTCTGAAGTTCTCCCTAACAAAAAACTAAACCATACGCTGCATAAATTACGCCTTGTTGTTCTTGAAATTAACTCTTTTTAAATTAAATTAACTCCTGGTTTTTTCCAGGAAATAAAAAAGCGTTTGTGCTCTGAGAAGAAAAGCGCTGCACGTCGGTCCTGTTCCTATGACAACAGTCTGTTGATAACAGCTGCTTTATGACCGACACTGCGCCGTTACTTTTTACAGCATGGTTTTTTTTAAAATTTGGGATCGTTTTTACCCGAGCAGACACGGAGCGAGGAGGATGTGGGTACAAGACACGATCCGTAGGAGACAAAAATACGGGGATTATCATACATGTGGAAAAGAGAGCACCGGTGACGTTAAAGTATCTAAGCTGTAACGCACACATTGAGGGACGACCATCAGTAATATGAATCATTTCTTAAACTGGCCTGTAATTCTGGTGACAACATTTAGCCCGCTTGTCGCCTACATCCTAAATAATATGTTTTATGTTTATGTGTTACAACTTTTCTTGACTTTTTTTTCCCTTTAATGCGGCCTTAACACGCTGTCGTGCAAAAACACTGAGGCTCATGTCTCGGAGAGTTAACATGTTTACAGTTACAGTACTTGTTGTGAGTGTTGTAGCACGTCATCTTATATATGATTTAAGAAGAGCGGGACCCCAGCCGGGCATTTGCTCCCACCACCTCTATTTATTTTATTTTTTTAAATAAGGCAAAACTTGCTTTTATTGGCTGTGGGGGTTGTTTGATTTGAACTTCTGTTAATCCCTTCTCTCTTTGGGGGGGCGGGGCAGCAGAGATACTGGGTTCTTACATCAGAATTTCCTCACTAGGGGGCTCCCTGAGGGGCAGACGTGCAGAGAGGACGGTCTGCTACTGCGGAGGTAAATGCACTGTGGACCTGCTGTTCTGAAAAACAATTACACAAAGTGTTTATCGCTGCACGTCTTGATTTTAGTTTGTATTTGAGCTTAGTGTTTTCAAGGCAAAGGAATCTGGATTTGATGATAATCAAAAATATATTTATGTTGCTGGGGGGGGGGTATGTAGGACTTCATTTTGTATCCATTTCTGCAGGTTATGATCACAGACCAATGTTGGGCACAAAGCGTTGCTGTGGGTACAGGGTGATGCTTGAGGACCCTCGGTGGTTGGGCTTAAGGCCCAGGAGCTTCTCCTTCCTCCATGGTGGCAGGCGGGATTGGATCCTTGTGGAAAGGGGTCTCCTTGTAAATAAACCAGCAGTTACCGCCCCACAGGATCAAGTTCAAGAAGCCGAAAATCTGAAGAAAACAGGAGAACATGAAACGTTTAATGACCACTAATACCAGCTCGTGAATTATAAATCTCAAAGAGTCCGGAGTTTGTTGACAGTATTAAAGTGTTCCTGATCCGAGCTACAGAAAGGGGTTTAAAGCTTACTAGCAGGGAAGCTCAGAGTTTATTTATTCAGCATCCTCAACTCTGCTGGCAAGAAAATCATACATAGACACTGCATAGCTGCATCCTGAGATTACTCCTGTCTTTGTTCATCCTGTTTTATTTTTGCTCTTCTTTGTAACTCGACATTGTTTTAAATGAAGGAACCTTCAATGTTTTTGAGGTTTAAATAAAGGTTTGAAATGAGTTATCCTAATGGACACAATGACCACATATTTCCCTCAGGTTTGTTACCGAGGACGGCCTGCTGCTACAGACCCCTCCCCCCTTTCGTGCCAGAAGCCCAAGAGGCCTTGTCCCGGCGGCAGAAGGGCAGCTCTCTCTCTCACAGTAGACGGAGCGCCCCAACCTTCAGCGAGGTGATCCGGCACTACCACCTGACATCACGAACGCCCAGCCTCTACCATTGGACTGTGTCGTACCCAAAACCACCGCCATCCTCATTCATGCACGGCCTGCTCCGATCTCCACCTCAGCGGTAAGGAAGTGTGGAAAACCAGAACGTGAGGAATACAAAGGAGAAATCCTTCCTGCATAATATCCCATATGCTCTTTTGTAATGATTGATTGAATGACCTTTACATCACACTTTAAAAATGTGTTTGACTCTTTTATGAAGTTATGTAAATGCTGGTATATGAACACCTGATCTGTAATTACATGAACATATTAAACTTAATTCAGTGTTTGACACCGTTTCATACAAAGTAATCTCCACGCTGCTGATGATGAGAGTGATGTAATCTGACTGATGGAGGGGATATCTGTTTCTTAATTTAACCACGAGATGGCGCTGGTTTGACTCTGACTCCAGAGTGCCAGAATAATCAACCATGAGCCGCCCTCGAGCACCATGTTGTAAATATTTTACAGAGGTAGAAGGTATTCCTAATAATAACAGAGAGTGTGCAGCTGGAGGACCAGACAATCATAAGCATGCTCGCTCTTTGATTTTGGCTCGACTAAATTTTTATTTTGGATAGAAATCATGTTCACACACAGCAGTGATTTACAGTTTACTTTCCCAGGTTCAGGCAAAGCATCCAAAGTGCACAATCACCGTGAGGTAGAACAATATATGCTATAATTTAACAATTAAATGACAACAAAATGTCCTTCAGTTTCCATGTTGTTATGATGTGAATTAAATATTTTAAAAAGCTCAAACTAATCAAAGCAAAAGATTGCAGTTTAAAGTTTAAGTAAAGCTCCTTATATTTGACCCCAAATTAAAAAAAATATACCTTCTCTTTTACTAGTTTAAAAACGGACCCAGTTTGGCGGGGCGCTCGCGGTCCATATCCGAAACATATCTATACATATTATGATCCTTTTGTTCTAAACTGCCCATATTTATGAATGTGAATGTGGCATTATTTCTACCGCTCTTCCTCCAAGTGAAAAGCGGGATAAATAACGGATGGAATAGTCCCAAATAAAGACAATCTTGGCAGTCCTGACACTCCTTTACCAAAACTTACCACAGAGGCGTTAAGGCGGCCCATTGAAGGATGCGTTCCTACGTGACAGACATCCTTGCAGTGCTCCACGAGGCGATCTGGATGGGTGGCCCATTTGACATCCGTCAGGCCTTTGCCCCAAGCTGCCGCGGACACAAACCACAGGAAGGCAAAGACGGCGGTCACCACCAGGTCCTGAACGGGACAACACGGCAAACAGTGAACATGTTAGCACACACGCTAAAAGACATGAGGAGTATTCAGAGAGCACCTTAGTTAATCCCGTTCCTGTAAATGTCTTTGTTTCTTTTCTTTTTTGTACATGCAGTGATGATGATGTCTGGGCTTCTGCAGTAACTTCTTTTGGCTTCAACATTCATTCAGATTAAAATAATGGGACGGGCTTTATTGGGTCGCTGTTTGGCTATTGCAGCAACTGTTTGTTTTGTACTGATGGTTTGCAACTCAAGCAGAAGTGGAGACTTGTAATGCAAGCTGAAACAGCCTGTAGGTCAAATTAAAGAACAACTGATTTTGCAGCTACCTTCATACACTTCTTCCCCCCTGTATCAGCAACTTTCAGCAGCTTTGGGTTAAACATATGAGTGAGGGGGCGCAGGTGGCACAGTGGTTGGTGTGTGCCCCACATGTATGGAGGCTGTGGTCCTCCGAGCGGTCGGCCCGGGTTCGAAATCCGATGTTACCAATCATGGATTGCTCTTTAATAATGCATCCCCCACCGAGACAGGTCCCTGCATTATTTCAGCCTGAATGTCCTAGCGTGTGAAGGTTTAAAGGGGGTTAGGAGATTAGGCGTGTACTCACTACAATGGGCCCGCGGCTGGTCTGCCGGTAGACATGCTGGTAGCCCAGGTAGAGGACGAGGGTGGCGGTGCAATAAAGGAACGCAAACACACCGACAGACACATAGAACTCTGCGGAGGAGGAGAAGTCACCCTGCAGGTAAATGCCCTTAGATTCAGTGCCATTGCAATAAGGGATGCTGTATGGTTTCGCTGACAACCTACAGGGTGAGAGAGAGAGAGAGAGAGAGAGAGAGAGAGAGAGAGAGAGAGAGAGAGAGAGAGAGAGAGAGAGAGAGAGAGAGAGAGAGAGAGAGAGAGAGAGAGAGAGAGAGAGAGAGAGAGAGGAGACTATTAACGATTGATCTGATGACTCATCGTTCTGTTGGTGTTTTTTTTTGTGATTTCAGAGATAACAAGTCCTCACCTGGGTTACTCTTCAATCCAAAGACGGTAAGCAGAGAAAATATGAAAGGGTTAAAAAAAAGACGGTGTGCACGAATTAAACAGAATAATAACGCACATGCACGGTCGATTTAGTAAAGACAATTGTGATTTTAAGACTTCACCATCTACTTGTAGTGTGTATTAATAAACATCTCTGAAGACTTTACACCTGCTTCCCCCGGATGTTACCTTTTCCTGGTTCTGCATCATTTTCCACATTTTTATTTCAAAAGATATCCCAAATGTATAACTTCCTGGATCTGCAGGTTAACTATCAGGGTTGCTGGTTAAGCTCAGCCTTTAGAGCGTGCACCCCCATACACAGAGGCTGCAGCCGTCTACACGCCCGCCCTGCTGCATGTCATATCCTACAGCTGTCCTGTCAGTAAAGGAACAAATGACCAATAAATCTTAAAATACAGCCTCTTGAGAGAAAAGCTTAGAAATCAAGGAGAAAAAAAGGTCAGACTTGAGGTCAAATCTGCAGACAAAGAGGAGTAAATATACTTTTCACCAGAATGTGGCAGCGTTTCACAGCTGAAGGAAGAAAATGATCTAACAAGTGTTTGTCATGTAAGTGTCTGTATAAAGAAAACCCCATTAAGATCCTTTTAAATATGAATTCATATCAAAATGTATAGCTAGTAATGTAAAAAAAAGGCTTCATTAAGAGACAGACAGCAGCAGTGAGAGTTCTTGTTGTTCGACAGTACCTAAATGGGTAGTAAAACACAGCGAAGACATTCCTCACGTCGTCCTGGCATTTCTCCTCCATGTGTGTTGACCCAGAGTAACCTCCAGTGGTGGCAAAAGCAAAGATGGCGAAGACCTGCAGAGGTAGAGAAATAAGTCAGGTATGAAAAAATACTGCCTGACAGAGGTCTCAAACATTTTACCATGACAGGTGGTTATCTAAAAAAAACAGATGCATGACGCCTCTTCCCTGTCGATGAGTAACATCTTTTTTTTTTCAAATTCTGTTGACCTTAATTCCCCTGTTCACTCTCACTCTCTTCCCAGCTGTTGCTTTTTCCAAACAGGAAACTACCCCCCTCCTCCTCCTCCCTCCCTCCTTACTCAATATGTCAAAACTTTAAAACATGAGATCGTTAAACCAAACGTGTAGCTTCAACCTGCTCAGCTGCTACAAAATAATATATCTTCACATTTATTCTGCAACTAAGACAAACTTCTATGTATATTGCACCAGGGGTTCCTAAAGTTTACCATGCTAATGTAACTTTACACTTACACTCTCTTAAATTTCCTAATGTCAAACATGAAACTTTTCCACATTTCCTTATTTTTTATAAACGAGTGTTACATATAGTGCTTTCACACAAAGTCTCCTGCAAAACATCCTGAAGTTTTCAGGCTGAACCCAAACAACCCCCATACAGTGTGTGCTGATTGAGAAATGAGCTGATCAGACCTATTTAATTTTTTTTTTAAATGTAATTTATGTTGTAAAAACAGGCTTTTTTTTTTTTTTTAAATTGGGAGTGCACATATGAAGTCCTCAAAATATCCAGATCATTTCAGAGGGACTGCTCTGGATATTCTCCTGACCTGGGTGTTCACATACACACCTCACAGTAAATATCAGGAGTTTTTTTAAGGAGTTTTCTGCAAGTGTTAAAGTCCTATATGTGACTTCTGGGGTCAGCCTCAAGCGGACACTTCTTTCAGCATTGGCTTCATTTTTCAACACGGGAGGTTGCCGCTTGATTTAAAGAAAGGCACGTCGCCCCTGATATCTTAAAGGAACAGTCAGCTGATGGTAGGCCGAGCTGGTAGAGAATCGGTGCCGTTGTCAGGGCAACAGCACTGGACCCAATTCTTAAGAACATCTGTTGAGTTTTATTGGATGAAGCTTTGACGTTTTTTGCCAACGCTTGACTAAGTTATAATACCTGACTTTGTGCTCCTCACAGTCTCAAAAAGTTAAAGTGCGCCTCTGGCTCGTATTCAGTAAAGAAATCCCAGAACACTTAAGGAACAAAAATTCAGAAACATGAAGTAGTGTCACAGCTGTCTCATGCTGAAGTGGATAAGCTGCCTTCACTGTGAAGCCACAGATCAGCTGACAGACTGATGTCCTGCTGTCTGACTTCACGCTCCCCGTCACCCTTCACCTCTCCAATCGCAGATCGTTTTTTTTTTGGTCATTTTGAGACTGTAAAGTTTAGAGCATTGTATACTGTTGCTCCTGAATCGATCTGTCTGTAACGTTGCATAAAAAAAACAAGCTTTTACTGAGACTTGACACGCCCACTTTAAGAGGCTTTGATTCATGAATTAATTTGAGAAAACTAAACACTGAGCACCCCCATATAGCTGAACAGACGAGTTTCATTTTAGGGCAGCAAGGACTGGTGTGTCGCACAGGACATCTTTAACAACTTTAAAGGCCGGCTCACATCTAGAGTCTCACACTAACTCTCTCATCGGACTGTCAGGGGAGCAACAATGGGAGTAAAGTTACGACAAAAGGCTCTATAATAACCTGCTAATCCAAGGAAACACCAAACTGTAGTTTAGAAAGGTCAACAGAAGCAACAAATCTTAGACACAAAGGCAGAGCCGTCTTCCTTGGTCTTCAGTCTGGAGTGTTGAACTACCAGCAAACCCTGATCAGAGGACCTGGGAGATCTGAAGAGCCATAGTCAGGCTTGAAACTTTGCCTTAGTGTTGCGAGTCTTTCTGCATCATATCCAGTGCTTCTTTACGACTCAGCACTTAAATCAATAAGTGTTATGCGTGTGTTTGCTCACTTTTTCTGAGCTTTTGCAAACTCACATTCAAGGCTGCATGGATAGCCATTAGCAGGTTACTTCTCTGCACAGCACCATTGTTTGATTTGAGGTAATTTAATAGTTTGCCATAACAGCCCATTAGCCATCTGTGCTAGCTACTTATTAACTATTAGGCGGGGTTACACCCTGGACTGGTTGCCAGTCAATCACAGAGCTGACATATAGAGACAGACAACCAGCCACACCAATGGGCAATTTAGTGTCACTCACGTACCGAGTTTGAGTAAATAGTAAAGTATGCTGTAGTATCCACAATGAACAGTATTTAGTCCATTAATTAACTACTGTCAGTCCAGTAGTTAATTAATCAGATTTCAGTTTTGTTGGTGGGTTCTGAACCGATCCTGTGTTGAAGGCCGAGATGTAAAAATCCTCTAAGGGGAAACTCACACTCGGCCCAGTTGACCCGTACCGTGCTGAAGCACGATTCCCCACCCGTCCTCCTCATTTCCCTGCTGGCCTGCACTCACACTGCTCCAGGACTAACCGGGCCTGAGCACGGTTACCTCCTGTAAATAACGTTGGACTCGGCCACGCGTCTCTTATTTATTTATGGCTGTATCTGATTAAAATGAATCAAAATAAGACAACAAGTCAGTAAAGTAGCTCTCATGTTCTCTGTGTTGTTCCCCGATGTGCAGATGCGGACTCGAATGCGCGTCCCTTTTTTAAAAAAATTCTTGAGTCCGTCTCTTTGTAAACACACTTCATAATAACATTACGTGCTTAGGCCCGGTTTGTCTTGGAGCAGTGTGACCGCAGGACGTGAAGGCCAGCGGGGGAATGGGGAAGAGGGGGGGCAATCATGCTTCAGTACAGTACGGTGCGGATTGCCTTGTGTGAGTGCGCCCTAAGAGTCACCAATTAAGTTGATTTGGGGAATAAAAAAATATACACTACAATGATTTTGACAGATCTTTAAATATGTTACAATAATTCCTCACTACAGACAGCACATTTTCTGGCAGTAACTCTTGTGAAAGAGTGAAGTAAAAGTAAAGTACACTGATGCAGCGTCAAACAATGAAGCAGTAAAAAGCAACACGCCGGGTGAACTAAATTCACTATTCTGTACATTCACTAGGAAGATATGTTTCACTGTGTCATCGTTTTTTTCCTGCTCATTTCATCAGAACTCATGTCAGCAAAAGTTTCCTCTAAAGGGAGGAAAAACAAGCTGATATCTGCTGACAGAGAGCAGACAGCAGCAGCAGGAAAATGGAAAGGAAAGAGGAACCCGGACCGTTTCCTCAAACACACAACAGAAACTGAGTGTGCAGAAAAACCTCTGATAAAAGATGCAGCGTAATCCACAATTTACAAAAAAGATACTGCACAAGTGCGGCCTTTGGAAACCACTTAACGAGGCCGTGAACAGTAAGCGGAGCGGACAACTAGACAACAATGTCGTTAAGCTCCAGACTGCTGCTGCCGTTTCTTCCTATTTTTAACGATGACATTACACGTTTAAATAGAAACACAAAGTAGGAACCGAGCAGAGTGGGATTTCATTCAGAGGCATTCTGTCACACAGCCACATTATTAACATGCCATCATGTAATGGATATGTGCACAGGAGGAAGAACGTGTTTCATTAATGCTTGGATACACAGCGAGGCTCGTTGGGGAGATGTGATGGTCTTACAAACTGAGCTTTCTAAAGCTTCTTAAACTGTTTACATAAATATAACAAGTATTCAATCCGTGTATTTCAGTCTGTTTGCCCAAGGTGAAATTAAAAAAACACGAGGCTCAGAGTCTAAAGATTGTATTTGTACTGAGATTTTCTTTACCTGCAACTGTGGCAAATTACCGGTAACATAAACCACCACTGTAAACTCTGTAACGCCCAAAGACTGTAAATGTTAATGGCCTGAGTGCCGTCAGCCGTCACATCCTGCAGGGGGCTCTGGAGGCTGGAAATCCTGTCTCAGTCTAACTTTCAGTCACCTAACGACAGGCTGAGAGCTGGAGCTGAGGCGGGTTTTAAGCCTTTTGATGAACCGTTACATCGCAACCACCTGTCAATCAGGTCAACTACACGCCTAACTATGGATAACACGTATCTTTCATAAAATCAAATCGAAGCAGTAAAAAAAAAAAGAAGTGCACCCCCGGCCCGTACAGTGTGTGTCAGTGATGACAATAACTAATCAGACCAATATAGTTTTTTGTACCAGGCTATCGGGACTCTTGCAGCCAGCCTCAAGCAGACACTCGACGAACTGCAGGATTTTGCGCCTCCTCATCATCGGTTTTATTTAGCTCCATCTAATCGGTTTTGGAGCTAGGGAGCCATCTGGACGATGCCAGTGTTAAGGAGAAAGAGTTCCGGTCACTAGTGTCCAGGTGTGCAGAAGGGTTAATTTGTCATGTGCATCTCGTGGAGGTGATGGCATAGAAAATGTTTGAGGCTAGCGCGTGGTTGCCTTGAGGATTTGGGTGGATGCCATCTCTCTTAAAAAAGGATGCACGCTCCCAGAATATATTGAAGTTATCAATAAAAACAAGGTTGTTTGAGGAGCACATCTGTTTTTTTCTCCCCGACATCAATATCGGTATCTGCCCCAAATTTCCCATATCGGTCGGGCCCTAGCTCATATGTATAAGGAAGTTTCTGCAACAAAACACAAGAGTGGAAAACAAAACACTGACATGTGAAGCAAGATGAAAGACTATAAAGCAGCAACACTCCCTCCAATTTACAACGACAGGAAAGGGTCCGGATAAAGTTGGGAAGGGCTGTGGCTTTCACAACTCCACATTTCACAACATCAACATCGCTCCCCAGTTGTGACCGACTCAAAACATAACTGCTGATTCACACTTTCAATATCAATATGTCCTCTGTTCAGAATGTGAAACCAAATAGTTTTCCACAAACTTATTGGCAGATTTTTTATTTATATTCTGTCCATATTCTGTGTTTGTTGACAAATGTTTTGAAGATTTGCTGCTTCAAACTTTGGGACAAATAAGGGATGACTTCGCCTTACACTACCTCATTGACCGTATTTGCTGAAACAGCAGAAATGTGAGAAATTAGTATCATACAATGTGGTTTGATCAGCCACAACTGTTTGGAAAATCATCATCAATCCATTGCAGAAGTATTTACCTTGTACTTGAACCTGACTGTAAACAATTTGTTGTTCACATATGACAGTAAAGGAACTTTTCATGCTAACAGTGAATTCATTTTCCTCTCGAAAGTAACGTGTGTTGTTGCATTAACAGTCTTGTAAAGTATGTGAACACTGAGTGCCAAAGGGCAGCCCCCCCCAGGACATCCGTCCTCCAATGAAAAGCTCCTGATTGAGGGCATGTGATTCTTGCTTCTGTACTTTCTCTCAAGAATAATGTCCTTTGTTCACTCACACCCAGATCTACTAAAGCGAGCACATTCCCAAATCATCAGGATCCTTTCTGAACGGCAGACCAGATGTCTACAATGTGCAGCAGCACAGGAGGGGGGGGGGGGGGGGGGTCTGCTGTGGTGGAGTAAAGATAGCTGGTTTGACAGCAGAAATAAACACACACACACACACACACGGGGAGACTGACTGCAGTATTTAGCGAGCTTCACACCCTGTGAGAATCTTCAGGAATGGGTTTCATCTTTCAGGTGCATCTCGGTCACCCACAACATTTCTCAGCTTTCATCCGTGCCTCGTTTGTCCCGCCCAGACCGATCTGACAGCACCCCAAATGAACCCTCCTGATAGGGCGGGGATTCCCCGTCTGGTGTCCCATTTGCACAGACTCTCCCTGAGACGGACTGAACCATTCCTCGCTACCGCTCCTGATCAGGGAGTGGCCGACAGATAAGAGACAGCAGGAGAGTCACAAGATTCTGACACTGGCCATAAAGCATTTTATACAGAAATCTGTGTTTGTACAAAACATGTCATCGCTGGACATAAAGCAACAGTGACACACAAAAAGACTCAGCAGGTCATGACAGTCATAACCACACAACCACCTGTCACTGTGACAGGTGACCGTTAGTGGCTAATCTTCATATTTACTGGCTGAGGCATAGAGACCAGTTTGACATCCAGCCCTATCATACTGAACATCTTCCACATAGCATTACATTGGAAGAGCTGTTTTCCCAGAGCTGGGATACCAAGAAAAGCCTCGCCCTGAAAGAGTGTAATCAGTTTCCTTATCAAGACCACAAAGAATTTAACTTTTTCAACTCCTTAGAAAATCTTAAAAAAAAAACAATTGAGGTTGAAAACTCAAAGCATCAGAAGACGTTTTCACATCTGCACTCCTCAAAATATCGAGATCATTTCTGGAGGACTGCTCCGGATATTCTCCTGACCTGGTTGTTCACATACGCTCCTCACAGCGGGGGATTATCTCTGTCAGACGGGAGGAGGGGGACAGGGGGGTCGAAGGCCAGCTGTGGCGGTGACTTTTGTCTTGGTCAAAAAGTTGCACTTGAACACACCGCAAAGACTACAGCCGACGGCCAACCACCACATGTTCTGTTTAAGTGTGAGAGGAAATAACTCTCCATGCCAGCAGGGGGCGGTAGTCCGTTGTTATGATACAAGAAGACCATTTTCACACCGCTGTCGCTCACCACTCGTATTATAGGTCGTCTACTAATGGAGAATAACGTCTGATAAAAAGGTGAAAATGGCGCTGGCGTTGTCAGCTCTTGGTCTTTTAGTGGAAAAACAAAAGAAGAGGAGGAGGAGACAGATAAGGAGAAACCACACTAATGGGTGAAAGCATGGAGACTACAGCGGGATGCTCAAGGGGCTTTACTGAACCTGAGAGCTGGAGAGAAATGAAACCTCTGAACAGCCAATCAGAGAGATTCCTCTCACCAACGCCGATTCGGCCAATGGCGCCTGACACACCGCAAAAAACTAGACTAGACAATCTCCTTAGTGTGTCAGGGCCTAAAGACATAGAAAGAAACTGAATTGTTTTAAGGTTGTGAAATTGTCATTAATTGAATACTGTCCTAAGCCACGTGTTTTAAAGCGATTGTTTTAACGATCGATAACAAAATCTTTAAAAAACAAATAGATTTTCAGGAAACCTGACGATGGCGGTCTCCATGCTGGAAACGCTGTCTCAGCCTAACTTTAAAGGCAGGGTTGGTCATTTTAGAAAACTAGCATGATTTTGAAAGTAGCATATCCTCATTGCTCCGTGTACACCCAAACGCCACGCGCCCTCACTTACAAACATGAGCCGTCGCTCCAGAAGCCGACCTCGGCTCATCTTGCATTGTGTAGAAACTACTATACTGACTCTTATCCTTCATAAAACAAAACGGATGAGTTATGTACGTACAGTGTGTGCTGATCGGGACATGAGCGATGCAGACCTATTTGTTTTTTGGAACCAGGCTGTAAACATGTTTAATTTCTGTTTTAAATACAGGTATTATTAAATGGGTGTGTATGTGACTTTCCCGGGGCTCTTGGAGCCAGCCTCAAGCAGACGCTCCAAGAACGCAGTTTTTTTTTTGCACTTCCGCATCGGCTTCATTTTCTAACTCTGGAGTTTGCTGCTTGATTTTTTTAAACAAAAGCTGCAAAAGAGAGTTAGAGTCATGTGTCAAATGCACAAATACACATTTCTGTGCAAGAAAGCCCGAGACACCCGAGACCTTCCAGAGAGGGGCGAGTCAACGACATGTTTTGGGGAGCTCTGAGACTTATTTAAAATGATTGAAAAAAGAGTCGGAAATCGAGAGAGAGGAGAAGACATGCGGGAAAGGAAACACACAGAGCCCAGTCTCTGTACGTGGGGCGGGAGAGCCAACCACTTATCCACCAGCACCAAAATGTTACATAACTTCACGCTGAGAAATTCAGGCTTTTGCAATGTGTTTATTACGAATTCTCATATTGTGATAATGATTTTTACGCAGCTACTATCAAACTATCAAAAGCTTGACCTTCTCAGGAGGTCCAACATCTGGAATCTACTCGGCAAACGTTTGATCCTTCCAGTTTGCTCGACTGCTCTCGACATATTGAAAAGTGGCTGTGCAAAGAGAATCAGTGTTTGCAGCAGGAGGGTTCACATCATCATTTGGGTTAACATTTTACTAGGGAAATGAGTAGCCAGGCTTCAACTGTGCATCGTAAACCGACAAGCTGAATGTGGTCAAAAGCCAAAGACTGCAGAGGAACAGATGAAGACAGCAGATACAGAGGAGGCTGAAACCATACCAATGTTTTCAGGGTACAACAATCTAATGAGTAACTTTCATGATGTTTGGTATCTGAAGGAGGATCACTTAGATAAGAGAGTGCTGAACAGATTTAACTTATTAATAAAGACTGACAGGCTTTTGCATCTACTTTAAAGACACTTTAGGGGGGGATAAATGACTGTACTTACCCATTCTAGGACACGAATGAACCCCAGAGGTTCCTTCAGAGGTCCCAGGTCCAGAGAAAACCCAGACGTCAATTTCTGAAGACAACCAACACGGTGTTTAAAAAGCACAAAAAACAACATAAACATAGTTAGGTAGACATGTTAAACCGCGTGTACACGAGTTAGCTTCAGTTTTAGCAGCCAAACTTCAAACTTCTTCACCTGTTTGTCACCTTGTTGCTAAACTGGCCCTGCCCTTGTTAGCGCACACTCCAGCTAGCCACATGCTAACGCTAAGTCACGCCAACCTGGATATTTAAGTTAACTCACCAACCTGAACAGTTTCCATGGAGACGAGCAAACGAGAGGAGAGAGAGAGAGAGAGAGAGAGAGAGAGAGGCTGCTGTGTTTCGCTGTCCGCGTTTGCCCGGTAAAGTTCACTTTAAGTGAACACTCACTGCGTGGAGTGAGAGAAAGTGGAGAGAGAGAAATCACGACTACTGACAGTCTGCAGGAGGCGGCTGATGACAAGGCGCGTTCACGGGATGTCCGAATAATCGGGAAGAATGGTTCTCCGACAACAGCAGAGAAAGTTCTTCTATCATGGGCGGGGGGGGGACAAACGGTCGTTGTGTTCTTAATAAATATTGGCATATTTCTCTTTAATCAATCAATCAATCAATCAATTTTTATTTGTATAGTGTCAACTCATAACAAGTGTTATCTCGAGACACTTTACAAAAAGCAGGTAAAAGACCTTACTCATTGTTATGTTACAAACAGCAGGTAAAAGACCTTACTCATTGTTATATTACAAAAAGCAGGTAAAAGACCTTACTCATTGTTATGTTACAAAAAGCAGGTAAAAGACCTTATTTATTGTTATGTTACAAAAAGCAGGTAAAAAGACCTTATTTATTGTTATGTTACAAAAAGCAGGTAAAAAGACCTTATTTATTGTTATGTTACAAAAAGCAGGTAAAAGACCTTACTCATTGTTATGTTACAAACAGCAGGTAAAAGACCTTACTCATTGTTATATTACAAAAAGCAGGTAAAAGACCTTACTCATTGTTATGTTACAAAAAGCAGGTAAAAAGACCTTATTTATTGTTATGTTACAAAAAGCAGGTAAAAGACCTTACTCATTGTTATGTTACAAAAAGCAGGTAAAATACCTTACTCATTACTATATTACAAAGATCCGGCCTATCCATCATGAGCACTTTAGCAAAGCAGCAAAAGTTACAGTGGTAAGAAGAAACTGACTTATTAAAAGGCAGAAATCTTCGGGCGGATCCCCGGCTCATGACGAAACAGCCTTCACAGGCCTAGACTGCTCCGGGCTTGGAAAGGGATAGGGGGAGAGATGGGATAAGATGCAGGAAGAGGGATAGGGAGCAAGGGGGTGGTATTTGATGCTATGATGTCTTTTTGATTCAGATTGGTGTTCATGTCAATTATATAATCAAACTCATTATTATTCTTGGGAAAATTTCACATCCACAAATCAAAATGGACTTCCTCGACACCCTGCTTTCATCGTTTTATTGTCAAACTCAAACAGTACTGCACCTCAGTTGAATACGTTCAACGTTTATGCTATATTTCTATACATTTTATATATAATGATTATAACTGTCTTGTGAATGTTTCTCATACCTTTTTGGTGTAAATCAAGATAATAGCATAAAAACAACAAGAAAGTGGCAACGTCAACAAGAAATGTTTTTTTTTTTTACCGACAGGATGAGTTAAAAAAAAAAACGGACCAAAGAAAACATTTGGCTTTTCCTAAAACGTGTTTACCAATTCACGTCTTTTAAACTAACTTTGTGTTGTTGTTTTTCCGTCAAATGTTATGTGACATAACGGTGTTTAACATTAATTGCTATCATCTTTAAGTCACCTATTCCTACTTCTGATTAATAAAATATAATACATAATCCTCTTTTTATTTCATCCACCTTGTTTCCACTTTATTTCTTAAAACTTAAATATCGAAATCAGAGAAACGATTTACTAAAGCTGGAAATCCGAGCATCCGAGGAGCACGTGAATGCACAGACAGACTGCTGTCAAGTCCTGAACATCCGTCAACCGCTGGCAAATGACCAACAGCACTTCCGGCGTCACTTTTCAAAATAAAGTTCTTAGGCTGGTCTATTTTTACAAATAACTATTGTGTTGTTGTTCTTTTACTTTGTGGATTTGAAAGACATGTTCCAGTATGCCTCCCTTCCTTTATATCCGATATAAGTAATGTATTAACATAATAATTAGACAAATAACTGACTTAAACTTTATTGACATTTGCAACTTTTTTGAGGGGTCCAACAGGGGATGTCTGCAGGGATGTCAATAAGTATTTGTACGCACACATACGTTCAAACAAAGCCAAATAAACCTACTAGAAAACAGAGTTGTTCTGTTATATATCTTCCAATAAATAGGATGAAAAGTCCCGTGGTTTTTTTTTTTTTTTTGCAGCACATGAAATCAGAACTGTGGTCTCGCTTTTGAGCAGCAGCGCCCTCTGTTGCTTCAACTCCTGCTCTGCACTGTGCGACAGCAGAAGCAGCTCCAGTTTATCTTTTTTGCAAAGACTATTTCTGGGGCTTTATGTGAAACACCAGCTTTAAAAAAGATGCATACATGTTTGTTTGACAACTTTATACTATTAATGATGAAAGGAGTCACTGACCATTTGGAGCATGATGTGAAGCATGCTCGCTCTGCAGCACCTGTTCTTCCTGTGAGAGATTATAAATCCTCACACTAATGGCAAACTGACTTGAGCTTGTATATTTCTTTTCTAGTCTTCTGACTACTCAAAGCGCTTTCACACCGCAGGTCACACCTACACACTCACACACTGATGCTAGAGGCTGTAAAGTGTAAAGTGACGCAACTAATCCCATTAATACACATTATTGAATGGGATTGTCACCTCACTTTTACTCCAAAGCTTTGAGACCTCTCTTTTCTTAAGTTCCAGCTGATATGGTGGATCACCATTGCTTACACTAAGGCTACCATTGTTGTAGTAAAAAAGTCAAGGGTCGTAGGCATGGGGAGGGACAGAGGCAGGAGACAAATGTAGATGATCATAGGATCGAGTTCAGGTTCCTCGACTCCCAGAAGATTAGTAAGAGCAATCCGTTTATAGTCTGTTGTTCAGGAGCCAAAGGTAAAGAGAAGGCCTGGAATCAGGGGAAATCCAGTTAAGGCATCTGCAGACCGCAGCTGGCCGGGACTCAAAGTGTTGGGGTTGAGGATGGATTGATGGCCGACATGCTGATACTGGTATGAAGCTGTGAAAAAATCCTTGAAGCAGCGTGAGGTGGGTGGAGGTTAAATGGTAAATGATGAAAATTGAATGCCTTGAGCTGTTTGTAACCATTTAATGATCTTATAAAGTAATATATCGTTTCAGAATAACCTCTTATACAGACAATGGCTGAAATCTACGGGGAAGACAATGGCCTGCTGGAGCAGCTTTTACCCTCTGTGCTCACAAACTGGTGGGTCAGCAGGAATATGGATCAGTAGCATTTGCTTAAAAACTAAAGAGGAAAGGGGGAAGTTGAATAACAGAACCACATTCATTTGACGTGAATCAAATAGGTTAGATTAACTTTTGGGAACCCTATCTGCCTGTGACTGGTTTTCTGTGTTTTGCATTCGTTAGTCTGGAGGAAAATGTACTTTTAATTGTATTTACTGCATGCACAACAAAGAATAGGATAATAATTCCTCAACTGCAAAGCCCTTCTTCACCATGAATTAAAAATGCATGGAGCAGCAAAGACAGTGCAGGGTAGACTAAACTATAAGATACAAAATAAAGTAGAATAAAGATACGTATGTGGACAGTGATCAGACTAACACATGTAAATGACAAATAAGATAACGAGAGGAGGAAGATTTTTCTTACTCATTATGCAATAAAGTCGAGGACATTTTCGAGGATAAGGTCAAAATTTCACAACAATTTCTATGTGGACCAAAATAACTGTTAGCTTCAATGTTAAAAACAAAAATTGTAATTTGCAAAACTAATATTATTATAAATAACTGTATGCGTCTACAGACTTAGATTATAATATTAAACACACATTACTCATAGCGTCTATACTTTTTTCTTCCATATTACCTTTAAAAGCGCTTGAACACGCTGGAGTCTTGAAAACGACTTCCTGACATGAAATTGTATCATACATTCAGCACTTGAATGAAGATTGCTGTATACCGTTCAAATTTACCATCTTTCTGCCGGACGTAAACGCACCACAGTGAGCGGCCCACCCTCGTATTTTTCTCGTCTCGCCGCCATTTTGCTTTAGTCAAAGTGCGGCTTCGGCAGAGAAACGATCCGGGACGCTTTTCTTTCCTACTTTTTTAAAAGTCTTTTTTAAAACCCGGAACTGGTAATGAAAACTGCATACACTGTTTACACATCACAGTAGGCTGTTACACTGTAGTCTCCAGGTGTACAAAGTGAATATATCCGTATTTATAACCGTCTGTACAGCGTTTAGCGTGAAGCTAGCTAGACGGTGCTTTTGTTAGGCCCGTGTTAGCGCGACTTAAATTACATGTACGTCACGAAACTATTAAGTTATAATGTTATGATTCGATGAAGTGAAAGTATTTTATTTCTACTGATAAAATTAACCAAGTGTGACCATTAAATTTAACGTAACCGCGGTGTTTTTATTTCTGCCCGGTGTTACGTCGAATAGTGCTACCCTTCGAAATGTGCTACCACGCGGCTCTTACACAATAAGAGTAACGAAACTTGTTCTATGTACTCTAAAAATGTTCATACACTCTGAAAAAAATGCATATTGAGTGAATAGTAAATCAAATTATTGTATTTTGTGCTGGTAACATTATCTGATATGAGCTACGTCTGCTACTGTTTTGCGCTGTGGTAACATTTTCGTCAAGGTAGCACATCTCGACATAACACCTGTATCTCTACAGCTGCTTTAGGGCCACTTTTTTTGTTTTCAATATGTAAGTATGTGATTGATTTATCGACTGTTTTGGTTTAGATGCTTGTTCCAGAGCTGGATCATACATTGAAGGTGACCTGTACGTTTTGTTCTTTGACAAAAAAAAACATTTCCTATGATGGACAATCTTTAGATTTTATTATAAAGTCGTTATGTGGTTACTGGCCCAGGATACATACTGAAATCCTCTAACGCAGAGAATCAATATTTTTAAAATCTTAGTTTCTCTTAAAGCTGTTTTCTCAATGTAAGATGGAAGCCAAAGTGGTTATTCAGGGCTGCATGTTTACAACAAGTAAACAACTCAGGCCTGGACCTGTGACAATGGAAATAGTTATTTTTGATCCGGGATAAAGAGATGCTTATCATAGTCACATGGTTTGATAATCAGGTGTAGTGACAGTCAGCCTGTCCACCTCTCTGGGTCTCTTACAGCCTCATCCTAGTTAAGCATTGGCTCATTATGGAAGCCATATTTGTCTCACGATGCTGTGCCTCTGTGTGGAAAATGTCTCCTGCTGTATTTGTGCACATCTGTCTCCTAATAACCCTTTTCAGCTCTCCGGGGAGTGTTGTTGTTTTTGATTGATTTGTAGGTTTTAATCCATCCTCTTGGGCCTTTTCGGGGGATCCCTGGATACTGGATAGCTCCCCCTCCCTTCTGTTGAGAATACATTGGCAGAAGATTTTTTTTTTTGTCTTCAGCATTGGTAACCAACAGCTGAGAATCCCTAGAAGTCCGAATATCCTGCCCAGTTTTTTTTTCTTCTGCCACCAAGTGTGCAAAAATGCCTGCGAGCCCAAGAAGAAGCTGAGGATTTTCTTTCCACCCACCACCCCCTTGTTCCTCCCCTTTTTGCCCAACCAGTTATAGCATTTTTGGATCTATATTTTTCTTTTTCTTCTCTGGCTGTCAATGTCCCCGTATTCATTTTTTCCTTTGGTTAAACCAATGATTAAAAAAATATATAAGTTAAAAAAAAAAGAAAAAAAAAAAAGGACTTTCAACTATCACTAATGCTTAGCAGTCATGGCGGAGATAAAGATGTCTCAGAGAGTCTCAGAAAAGGGATGTCGTAGGAAGACAAGTGTCTCTGGGCGATCCATCCCCCTTTTCCTCTTATCTCATGGATCAAGTGTTCCTTCAGGACTCGATACCACCGAGAAGCCACCCTACCAGCACTGCGCTCAAGAGGGAGACGACTTCTCAGCCACCTCAGGTAAAGGTGGCACCATGCTACAACTACAACCGGCTGGTTGGCATTCACTACACTCTCACTTACAGATTACAAATATTTCTAAAGGTGCACTGGCTACGAGTTGCTTACGCTTTATTTCATGCCAACGTTTCTTCTTGACATGTCTCGGATATCGTTGTTTATGGATTTTTGATAATTTCCCTCAGTGACTCTCGGTAAAGAGACCTTAACTTGGAGTCATCTGATGATACAAGAATGTTTCAACACTTAAAAGGACAAAGCTTCCTCTTTTACACACAACATGTCACAATTTCTCTTCACCAGATATCAAAACAAAACTAAAGTTTCAGCAATTCATTCTGTTGTGTAAGAAACCGAGAAAGAAGTTCTGACAGGTTTCTTGGTGTAAGCTTCAAATGTTTAGATGTGTGTGTGTGATTAAAGTGATGATGAAATAGGAATCTGGTTTTCTGTTTTTTTGACTTGTTGCTGTGCTCTTTGCCGTCAGGGAGAGTCCTGTTGGCCCTGAAGAGACCCAGCTGTTGGATCTGAAGACCAAAACCTCATCAGCGTCGCCACTGAAGACTCGTACCAGCCTTAACATGAACAACAATGGAGACGACTGCTACTTCTTTTACTATTCCAGCTGCAGCAAAGTAAGCTTGAGCCTCAAACCTCGCATATTCAAACATTGTGAAACCAAGCAGTATCTGACTGTTTTAAAATCTGTCCTGCAGGGAGACAGCTGCCCCTTTAGACACTGTGAGGCAGCTATGGGCAACGAGACCGTCTGTAACCTCTGGCAGGAGGGACGCTGCTTCCGTACCGTCTGCAAGTTTCGCCACATGGAGATCACAGTAAGCAAAAAATACATTTGTTGACTTGAGGAAACGCAAAGTATATCCCCTTCTAGCTTTGCCCATTTGAGGCTGTTTGTGCCTTAAATGACCATTAATGGAGGGTAGATAAAAGTCTCCCTGTAAACCTGGGTCAGGAGCTCCACTCCGGACTCTGGACCTGTCGGGAGAAACACTCGATGCACTTTTAAGGCGATCACATAACAAGCATACTCAGTATGCTTCAGTCAGTAAGCTTTATTTACTGTAAAACCCAGTTTATAGGACAAACTTGTAATACCTAATTATTTTCATCTAAAAAGTTGTCTCTGTCCTATTTATCGATGTGACCAATATACCTGAATAAAATGCTGAGACTTGCCATCATTACCGAGAGTGCAGCCACCACAATCACACATGGACGCAATCGTTTTTTACCCCAGCAAACCGTGTCGGCTGCGATCAAAACGATCTTAAATATAAAACATGCAGTTATAAGCAACAGAGCAGAATCAGTTGTCATAGAGACGGGACAGACAAGCGCACAAACGCTTTATGCAAGAGCTCCCGAACTCTAGGTGGACACACACATACCTTCAAAACGGCTTAGGACGCCGTTTGTGGAAAGGGACCTCATTGAGATGTGATGAGCCTATTGCCTTCTTGCATTTTGTTACATGTTTAATTTGATTTCTTTCATCCAAACAGAAAAACCGAAAGGAGATTTCTTGTTATTGGGAGAACCAAATGGCCGGCTGCCAGAAGCCACACTGTGCCTTCTTCCACGAGAAGCCCCGCTACATCGATGGCATGTTCGTCCCAGCAGATAAAAGTGAGTGTGTTTTTTCTTCTTCTAAAGATTAAGACCGTTTTACTGCCACTGTATGAAAGACAGAACTCATCATTTATGTCATTCTTCAAGGTCAAATCAAGAGTGAGGAGCTGCCGCAGGAGGAACCAGCGCCCGCACCAGCTGCTCCTCTTCCCACTGCGGCTGCAAACCCTCAGCTCAGAGGCGTCATCAAGACAGAAGCTCAGGAGCCAGTGCCGAGCCCCACTCACCCACCAGTGGTGATTAATCCTGCAGACGATGACGAGGATGAAGATGGTGAGCTGGATTTGATCTCTTCTTTGCCTCGTCTAGTCCTCACCGTGAGAGAGGATGTGCCCACTCATGCTTGTTAATGTTTTTACAGACCAGTTCTCAGAGGAGGGAGAGGACGGCAAAGTCGGCCCTTCTCCTAGAAAACTACAAAAATCAGGTGAGACTCCGTTCAGAGAAAACGTTTTTAGAACATGAGTCTTCATTATCTGCGGCCAGAACAGTTCTCCTTCTCAAATCCTGTGTGAGCTTTTGAAGAATTAACGTGTGTGTGTGTGTGTGGGTCATGTTGTGTGTGTTCAGGCGACTCGCTGAACTTTGGAGTGAGCACCCTTGAGGAGATCCGGCTGAGGAAGGCGCTGAAGGCCAGCATGAAGAGAGCCGGTTACCCGATCCAGACTGCCAACGCCTCGACCAACGGAGAGAAAGAAAACATCCGCTCGCTTTTTCATCCATCCATCTTTGAGCCGAGACACGGTAAAGACAAGAAAGCAATCCATTGTTTCAGCACGTTTGATATCCAGCTCGGCACCCTTCCTCAGATTCTACTTACTTAGTCAGTTTCATTTTAAAGAAGTGTTGGTGACTGAGGTTGACAAACAATTATTTTCATTCATGATTTTCTTGCAGATCACTTTCATGTTTAGTCTAAAATCTCCCAGAGTCCAACACGATGCTCTAAAATAACTTCTTTAGTCCACCCAGCAGTCCCAACCCAAGATCACTTCTACGTACATGACACCATAAATGAAAAAGAAAAGCAGCATATCCTCAAATATAAGAAAAAACATTCTGCTTAAATATGCTGATTTGCTGATTCTCCTTCAAGCGACTTCTTGTTGCAGCTCTGCCGGGAATAAATCCAGAAGTCTTTGATGCCAGCTAGACAGTTATGTAGTCTAGTCATTGCTATACTTCTCTTACCTAGTGCTTCTTCCCCTCTTTAAAACTAGACGCGCTTGTCTTTGAAGAAACGGGGAGGCCAAGAGGCAGCGTGGCCGAAAGGCTCGGAAGGAAGATGTCCAACACGGGTACATTTACTGCTCGTACATATTTGATTCCTTTGTTGATAAATCTCGAAATGCTTTTGAGCACGGATTAAAATAAAAACTCATTTCCTGTCCTTGATGTAGATTCGAGGCGTGAAGAAGGCGTCTCACTGAAGAGGAGTCTGGCCGAGCGTCTGGGCAGAGTTGTAGAAGAAGATTCCTTGATACCCCCTAAGAAGGGTGAGTGGCCTTTCTCTCTCGATCATGCTGATAATACACTAACGATGAGATGTGTACACAAGCAGAGAGTTGCTTTGATTTGGTTCATCGTTTTTAAAGACTTGTTGTTTGTTTCTGCAGCTTTGAAGCCCGTTAAGGAGCGACTTGGATTGTCTGCTGGGTCTGTTTCACCCTCTCACCCAGGTAAGAAGACTGAAGAACATGACATGTGGAAATACTTCATTATTTCATCTTTAAAGACATGAATCATAACCATTACTGATACATTTTTCATTGTTACCCGTAGCTGAGACCAACACAGAGCCTAAGAAAGCTCCTGAGCAGATCCGCATCAAAACTCTGGAGCAGATCAAACAGGAGAAGGCGGCAAAGTCTCAGAACCAGAAAGACGACCCTTCTTCAGATGACACTGCAGAACCCAATGTTACAAAAAACACCGCTACCAAACCCACCAGGGGCGGCAGGCGAGCCATCACCCTCAAAGACGACTCCATCAGCGAGGTCAAGACGTTCTCTGAGATCCTCCGAGCCAAGAAGAACAGGCAGGAGGAGGAGGAGCAGCAGCAGCAGGAGCAGAGCCCCAGCCCCAAGAAGACGAGGAACACTGCAGAGAAAGGTCCAGCAAAGAGCCGGGACGCAGATGGGCCCGGTCCTGATGTTACAGACGTGGGGGAAGTTAGAGTTAAGACCCTGGAGGAGATCCGCAGAGAAAAGGCAGCAAGGATGCAGACTCAGCAGACGACAGAGACGGAAAACAAGAAGAGCTCTGACTCTGAGGAGAACAGAGCCAAGAAGCCTCGTCTGATGCGCATAAAGAAACCTCCTGCTTCTGAAAGTAAGACACCACTTCCTCTCCGGCCTCCTATTTGTCCTTAACAGATTGAATCATGTTTTGAATCTGTGTGTCCTCCTTACACAAAGATGTTATCATAAATGTGTCATGTTTGGCCGTATGATTTCCTGAATGTGAAAAGAGCAGATCCAATCAAAAAAGTGAATCACTTTCCAAGGTTTATTTTGTACCTTTTTTTTTTATAGAGATAGGACAGTGGGTAGATTAAAAATCAGGGAGAGAGAGAGAGTGGGGAATGACATGCTGCAATGGAGCCTCAGGTTTAACCCTCGCTGTCTGCTTTGAGGACTGTAGCCTCTGTACATGAGTCGTGCAAACCAACCACTAGCCCACTATTTTAGAGGAAGCAAATGTCAAACATGGAATAAGCCCACGTATGTGTGACATGTTAAACAAAAGTAACCTTTATTTGACATTTTGAACACAAAAAACATAGAAGGCAGTTCATTATAAAACCAATGATACAATAAACTAATATAATAAATAATAAGATGAGATAGGACGGTGGATAGAGTCAGAAACCAGGGAAAGAGAGATGAGGGGAATGACATGAGGGAAAAGAGCTACAAGTCAGATTTGAACCCGGGCAGCTCGCTTGGAGGACTACAGTCTCCGTACATGGGGCATGCATATCAACCACTAGGCTCACCAGCGCCCCCAAGAGTGAATGCTTTATTGAAGTACTCACTTTGATGTCTTTAATCTTTTAACATTTTCTTTATCCACGACTGGACTCGACCCTACTTCGTGCTTGAACTGTGAAACACAGAATGATGTAGTTGAATTAGTTAAAGAGAAAACATATTTAAGGGGCTAAAAGGACATCAGGAACATAATAGTTCATGTCAGCAGTGGGGCATACTAACCGTTATTTCATATTGAACCCAGCAGGCAGTAACGGCGCTGCAGAGACGACTCCTGAAGTGACAGAGAAGCCCCAAAAATCTCGAGCTGCTGCTCCTGAGGTGAGGGCTCTAAAGATACTACAGTTTGTATTCCTGTGCCAACACAATGGGTCTGGACTAATCGAGTGTTTCGTTGTATTTGTAGACCAACAATGCCAACGGTATCAGTGTCAAGGTGAAGACCTTCGAGGAGATCATGCAGGAGAAACGCCTTCGTAAGCTGGAGATGGAGGAGCAGGCTAAAAACTCTGCCGAAGCAGAACTCTCACAGAAACCGACCCCCGAGGAACCGCTAAAGAGGAAGAGTCCTGCAAGAGTCAGTTTTAAGTCAACCGGCTCTTCATCACCTTCTACGACCTCCCAAGTCCCTGATACAACCACCTCCACCCAGAAGCTCCCTGTGCGTAAGCTGATCCCGTTCAAATCCAAGGCTGCTTCCCCTCTGAACAGCACGACCGGTGCACGAGGAGCCGTCGTTACCTCGGTCCCTGCGACGCAGAGCTCTCCTCCACCAGAGACAGATTCCCGCTCACAGAGCCCCAGCAGCTCCAGGGAGGTCCCGGACCAAAACACAAGGACCCCAATCACACTGTCACCAACCAAACAAGCCAGAGCAGCTCCTCGAGGTGCTGCTGCAGAGGAGAAAACACTGAACAGTAACAAGAAGACGACTCCAGAACACACTGCAGACACCAGAGGTACTTCAGCTTTAATTATGACATCATCTGATTTTACACGCCATGTTTCTGTTGTTGACATACTTAGACTTAGACATCCTCATGTGTCTAACAAATCCTGCTTATAGGAGAGACAAAACAATGTCATTAAAGCCTTGTTTCTCTTCCAGTGAGGCCCAAGCTGAACGTGAAGCCGTCTGTGGTGAAGCCAGTGCAGGTGAAACCCGGCCAGAAGAGGAAGGCAGCAGAGCGGTATGCGGTGGCTGCTGTTAAACCTCTAAACAGCGCCTCCTCAGTGCAGGAGGAGTCAGTTCAGGAGAAAGACAAACAGGTGGGTTAGCAGGTCGGGCCAGGAGTTATGATTTTATTTGTCCTTTGTCTTCCTGGAGCAGGTGCCAAGACTGTGTCTGGAGTTTTATTTATATATTGTATCCTCTAATGCAGCTGGTGTCTTTTTATGTTTTGCATGGAGCTAATTGACCTAAAGTTAAATAAATTGCTGTTACTGACCTCCAGTTTCTTTTCTTGATTGTCAGGTGTCCCCGTCCTCCAGTGCAGACGCTCTGCTGAGCTCAGCTGTCCCCAGTTGCCCCAGCAACCTGCTGGACTCCGTCTGCAGCTCCAGCCCGCTGACAGAAGATCTCCAGACAGTCCCCGTTTTCTCACAGAGCCTGGGCCAAGAAACCAAGTCGAGTGTTCCTGCTGCCAGTTCCTGCACAGTCCCCCAAAGGTAAAAGTTCACAGAGAGCTTGAAACTTTAAGACGTCATGAAAACACAAACGCGTCACCGTCGGTACAATCAGACTTAACAGAATAATGTGTGTATGTAGCCATGCCCTAAAAAGGAGACAGCTCCAGTGTAAATGGATGATGGTTGTTTTTCTGTCTCTTCATAACTAACAAGCCTGTGTTCCTTTCAGCCCGGTCCTGAAGACGCCCGCTCAGCCGAAGTCCCGGAGACTGAGCGCAGCTGCATCCCGCTCTGCCTCGGCGTCTTCTTCTTCTGCTGCTGCCGCCGCCGCTGCCTCCTCTTCTGCGTTTGACGACTTTGACGAGCTGATCAGCGAGTTCACAGACGACCACATGGAGGGAGACATGGACCCTGCCATCGGAGAGGACGACCTGCTGCAGGAACTGTCGGAGATGATTGACAGCTGAGGAGCTCCCCCCCCCCACACTGGACTTGTGACTTTATTTCAAAAGACTTGATCCCATTTCAACTTTACTTAAGTTTTAGGTTTATATTTGTTCATGTTTGTCACCTTCTCTTTGTTTTTCATGAGATCATCTGATGGACTTCTTATTCTGTAGGGGAGTTTATTTTTTCTTCAGATGGTGTCCGATCATCATCACGCTCAAACGTATCGGGTTCTGAGAAGAGAAAAGTGAAAGAAGCTCTGGTGGAGACGGATGTTGGGAAAATCATCCGTAGTTCAAAGATGAAAATCGTTGGGGATTGATGAATGTGTTGTCATGGAGAGAGAGAGAGAGATATATATCTGTATACTGTGTATGCAAAGGAAAGAGCGTTCAAAATGTAGAAATAATGAATACTGCTGCACTCGTGGTAACCTGCCCCCCCCCCCCCACCTTCTTGAGTTTTTATGCGTCTGCCCAGCTGTTTTATCAGATTATGACTTTTAATTTAATGAGTTTTATTCCTACTATGACCCTGTTAACAAAACCTTTTTCCAAATTCATCAGTCGTCTTTAAGTTTGGACGTTCTTCTCGATCAGGTGTCAGTGGTTTATAGATTTTCCACTTCTGTCCGTCAGCTGTTTTTTCTAATGTTCGACTACCATGTTGTGTTTTAAATTCTTTGAGTTGGGCGCACCTTGAAACAAACCAGTCTTGTCTTTTGTTGACGAACACCTCAGGGACAGTTTCTGATCTTTCTATGATTAACAAACACTGTTACGCTGTCTTCACGTCTCCGTTCATATTCACTGTCACTCCGGGTCTGAAAAAAAGAATTTGGTGTAAATATGTGTGTGCTCTGTCTCCACCCTTTCCCCGTAAAATCTTACTGTTCAAAGTGATGTGTACAAACGATGGTGTAAATAAAGAATACTTTTAATGACCTTCAGAATGAATGATTGATGATTTAAATTATTACTCAGTCAGGATTGTTGCTGCGTTCATGTGCCCCTCGGAGGGTCAAGGTTTCAGAGTTGGGAAGTCGTTCTTCCGACTTCAGTGTGTTCACGTGACGATCTGTGGAATGTCACTATTTAAAGTTACATTTTAGCAAAAAGTTAATGTGCAATATGTGAAATAAAAAGTATATTAACATTAACAAAACATATTTGAAGTCAGCAAGGCGTGCCCCAAATTTTTTTCCCCCGAGTTTCCGACTTGTTCTGACTTGAGCAGGCGTTCATGCGCATTTTACAACTCTGAAACACATTTTTCCTATTTGTCCGACACTACATGAATGCACCGTTTGTGCAAGGTGAGAATGTGAAACGTGCAGCGACTTGTCCTGCAGAACTCGCACAAAACAAAACTCATTATTTGTATTTATTTAATTACACAAAAAACAACAGAATGCAATTTAAAAAAAATGAGAGCAAGTGAACAATTTAATTTTAGTAAACAGGAAACCATTACATAATTATACATGGGAAAATGTACAAACTACACCTTTTGAAAATGATCATAAAGTAGATTCACAGTGAAAAATTATGCTGGATTTGGGATTTTGGGGAAAATATGCTGTTTTTCAGTGCTCCTAAACTCATTCCAGTGTTTGGGGAAAATATCTGAAATACACACAATGAAGACCAATCAAATAATACAGTGATGAACTATACATGAACACCTCTGTTCACATGCTCGGTGATCTGAGATTTATTAAACTGTGGATTTCTTACTCATCATTGTACTTTTGTCAGCCAGGTCTCCCTTGAAAGAGATATCTCTCTGATCTCAGTGGGACCAACCTGGCTAAATAAAGGTGGAATAAACAAAATAATCAACAAGTTCTTTATTAAAGTAGTTAAATGTGTAATACATGGGCCATCTGGGATCTTTTTCATATTGTAGTGATAATAATAAAGACTGAAAAGCAGTCTTTGACCTTGCGGTGTTGTGGATACTCCCGGCCAGCAGGGGGCGGCACACAGTAAAAGTCAACCTTCAACGCCGGTAGGCTTCCACTGCCGGGTCGGTGGATGTAAACAGAAGGACGTTCCGCCTCTGGAGACAGCAGCAGCAGCAGCAGCAGCAGTGAGGGCAGAAAACATGACCAAACTGGAGCTGCTGAACGTGTTTCTGAACGACCGGCTGACGGCGGCGGCCCAGGAGATCTTCCGCGCCGTCAAAGACACGGTGGCCGAATATCAGAGCGAAATCCTGCGTTCAAAGGAGGAGAACGAGCGGCTCAGACGGCTGCTCAACGTCGCCGTCCAAAGGCTCCTGCTGCAGACAGGTGAGGGCTGTCTGTTCACTCAGGTGATAGGTGTCAGGCCGGATAAAAAAAACCTTTTAAATGGGACTTCTCTCCCGGGTGTGAGTGGAATGATTTTCTGTCTAACAAGGGGACGCCGTGCTGTCGTCTCATTACACGGACAGGTGTTCGTGTTAAACGAGTTACCGTGTTAACCGGTGACTTTCAGCCGAATGTGTCGGTGTTTTTTTTCTCTCGTAGTTATCGAAAAGTTATGAGTCGAGTTAAGTTTTTAATCATCTACACATCTGATAAATATTTCTTCACAACGTAGAAGTTTACAAAGAAGTTTACAAAGAGGCATTCGCGACGACGCTGAACTTTCCCGACATCAGTTGTAACTATGACAACCACTGACGAATTCCGCGGAACGTCACCAGATAGCACGGTCACTTTTTTAACCGAAACACCAACGATAGACTTGGTACGTAACGAAGCTCTCAGTTTGTTAGGAACAGCATTTATCATTTTGAAACGTGTGTGTGCGTGATAACTTTTTATAGCTGCTGTGAGATACTTTTCCAAAACTACTATTTGGATGGAAAAAGATTACTTTTCAACAACTTAATAGTTTAATTTAGCGAACATAATTTTAAAATTAACTATATATCTTTAAATTCTAAACGTATTGTGTACTTGTTTTTTAAATACAGAGCATATTTTGTTGATAATGACTGAAATTAAAGAAGTGACAGTCTAAGCAGATGGATAAACTAGAGGTCAGACATCAGTACACAGGGATGTTTTCATGAATAAAAACTACACTACCCCTACTAAAATTCTTGTTTCTAATTAAGTTTTTAACATTTTCATAATTTCTTCCTTTTAAAAGTCTTCGTAATTTCCTCAACCGGCCGCTCACTGAGGTGGGAATAAAGCATTTCTTTGGCTTTTTCTGCAGCTGTGAATGAGATGTACAGGTGTCCCCCAGTGCTACAGTGCAGTTTCATGTGATTCTGATGAGTTTTAGACAACATTAGAGCCCCTCATGAGAGCAAAGACTGACAAAATGTTTGTTAAATTTTGCAGTACATAATAGAAATCTATTTTAGACCTGATATTGTATTATAAAGTCTGATAATGGTGTCTGTCATATCGCTGAGCGTGGTTAAATCTGCAGATTTGTGAATGGAGTTTGTATTAGAGTAAGTCCATTTTATTCATCCATGATACAAACACTGTTACAGTATGTTTACATAAATACTCATGGCATGGTTGTGATTTGTGATGTTTCAGAACCTCACTCTGTCCTTCCTCAAGAGGACGTTCAGCCGTGTGAGTTTGAGTGGAGGAACAGCGTGGAGCTGCTGCCACAGATTAAAGAAGAGCCCAAAACTACAAACCTTCAAACCGACTGTTCACAAGGATCAAGAGACCCGGAGGAAGGAAACTGTAGCCACATCGAGCCGCTGCAGAGGTCACAAACTCCACCCGCCCAGACTGTGTGTAGCCGAGTAAGTGTCTCTCCACCTTCAGTAGCATCCCAGGAGATTAAAGCAGAGGAAGAGAGCAGGAAACAGCAGCCAGCACTCAGCTTACCGCCCCCCGTGACTGTTTATTCAAACTGCAGAGCGGCTGAGAGCGCCGCAAAGAGTCAGCGGACTCAGAGAACAGACCATCAGCTTAAAGGGTCGTTTCGCTCAAATGGGAAACAGAGCTCGTCCTTGCTCGCGATCAAGAACGTGAGATCTCTGAGGCCGCCCCCGCCTCGCTCCTCTCTCCCGAGCCAGAGCATGCAGAGGTGGCACAGCTGCAAAGAGTGCGGGAAGGGCTTCAGCTTCGCCTGCCAGCTGGAGGTGCACATGCGCTGGCACACCAAGGAGAAGCCGTACAGCTGCGCCGTGTGCCGGAAGAGCTTCACCACGGTCAGCATGCTGAAGAGACACCACCGCATCCACACGGGGGAGAAACCCTTCAGCTGCCACGTCTGCGGGAAATGCTTCAACCAGTCGGCGCACCTCAACACGCACTTCAGGCTCCACCTGAGAGAGAGGGCCGGCTGGAGCCGAGCGGCGCTCTCCAAGTGAAAACATACCAAACCCCCGACGATGTGTAAACTCAGAAATACTAAAGACATCAGGTTCAAACAGTGTTCAGTTATTGTGTTTGACAGTGTGTGTTGAATGTTGTGCAATAAAGTGTGGTACTTGAAGATTTCTTATTCTCTGAGTGTTTTACGAAGAGTTGTAGTCAAGACCAGGACATACACAAGACCAGAGTGCTCCGAGACCGAGTCAAGACATTTAGGGATGGAGATCGAGTCAAGACCAAGACATTTAGCGATCGAGACCGAGTCAAGACCGAGTCAAGACCAAGACATTTAGGGATCGAGACTGAGTCAAGACCAAGACATTTAGCGATCCAGACCGAGTCAAGACCAAGACATTTAGTGATCCAGACCGAGTCAAGACCAAGACATTTAGGGAACGAGACCGAGTCAAGACCAAGACATTAAGGGATCCAGACCGAGTCAAGACCAAGACATTTAGCGATCGAGACCGAGTCAAGACCGAGTCAAGACCAAGACATTTAGCGATCCAGACAGAGTCAAGACCAAGACATTTAGCGATCCAGACCGAGTCAAGACCAAGACATTTAGCGATCCAGACCAAGTCAAGACCAAGACATTTAGTGATCCAGACCGAGTCAAGACCAAGACATTTAGTGATCCAGACCGAGTCAAGACTAAGACATTTAGCAATCAAGACCAAGACATTTAGCGATCCAGACAGAGTCAAGACCAAGACATTTAGCAATCCAGACCGAGTCAAGACCAAGACATTTAGCGATCCAGACCAAGTCAAGACCAAGACATTTAGTGATCCAGACCGAGTCAAGACTAAGACATTTAGGGAACGAGACCGAGTCAAGACCAAGACATTAAGGGATGGAGACCGAGTCAAGACCAAGACATTAAGGGATCCAGACCGAGTCAAGACCAAGACATTAAGGGATCCAGACCGAGTCAAGACCAAGACATTTAGGGATCAAGACCGAGTCAAGACCAAGGCATTTAGGGATGGAGACAAAGACAAGACCAAGACATTTAGTGATCGAGACCGAGTCAAGACCAAGACATTTAGGGATGGAGACCGAGTCAAGACCAAGACGTTTAGGGATCGAGACCAATCAAGACCAAGACATTTAGGGATGGAGACCGAGTCAAGACCAAGACATTAAGGGATCCAGACTGAGTCAAGACCAAGACATTTAGCGATCGAGACCAAGACATTTAGGGATTGAGACTGAGTCAAGACCAAGACATTTAGCGATCGAGACCAAGACATTTAGGGATTGAGACCGAGTCAAGACCAAGACATTTAGGGAACGAGACGGAGTCAAGACCAAGACATTAAGGGATCGAGACCGAGTCAAGACCAAGACATTTAGGGATGGAGACCGAGTCAAGACCAAGACATTAAGGGATCCAGACCGAGTCAAGACGAAGACATTAAGGGATTCAGACCGAGTCAAGACCAAGACATTTAGCGATCCAGACCGAGTCAAGACCAAAACATTTAGGGATCCAGACCGAGTCAAGACCAAGACATTTAGCGATCCAGACCGAGTCAAGACCAAGACATTTAGCGATACAGACCGAGTCAAGACCAAGACATTTAGGGAACGAGACCGAGTCAAGACCAAGACATTAAGGGATGGAGACCGAGTCAAGACCAAGACATTAAGGGATCCAGACCGAGTCAAGACCAAGACATTTAGGGATTGAGACCGAGTCAAAACCAAGACATTTAGGGATGGAGACCGAGTCAAGACCAAGACATTTAGGGATGGAGACCGAGTCAAGACCAAGACATTAAGGGATCCAGACCGAGTCAAGACCAAGACATTTAGGGATCCAGACCGAGTCAAGACCAAGACATTTAGGGATGGAGACCGAGTCAAGACCAAGACATTAAGGGATCCAGACCGAGTCAAGACCAAGACATTTAGGGATCCAGACCGAGTCAAGACCAAGACATTTAGCGATCGAGACCAAGACATTTAGGGATGGAGACCGAGTCAAGACCAAGACATTTAGGGAACGAGACAGAGTCAAGACCAAGACATTAAGGGATGGAGACCGAGTCAAGACCAAGACATTTAGGCATCCAGACCGAGTCAAGACCAAGACATTAAGGGATCCAGACCGAGTCAAGACCAAGACATTAAGGGATCCAGACCGAGTCAAGACCAAGACATTTAGCGATCCAGACCGAGTCAAGACGAAGACATTTAGCGATCCAGACCGAGTCAAGACCAAGACATTTAGGGAACGAGACCGAGTCAAGACCAAGACATTTAGGGATGGAGACCGAGTCAAGACTAAGACATTTAGGGATGGAGACCGAGTCAAAACCAAGACATTTAGGGATGGAGACCGAGTCAAGACCAAGACATTTAGGGATGGAGACCGAGTCAAGACCAAGACATTAAGGGATCCAGACTGAGTCAAGACCAAGACATTTAGGGATCCAGACCGAGTCAAGACCAAGACATTTAGGGATGGAGACAGAGTCAAGACCAAGACATTTAGCGATCGAGACCAAGACATTTAGGGATGGAGACCGAGTCAAGACCAAGACATTTAGCGATCGAGACCAAGACATTTAGGGATCGAGACTGAGTCAAGACCAAGACATTTAGGGAACGAGACCGAGTCAAGACCAAGACATTAAGGGATCGAGACTGAGTCAAGACCAAGACATTTAGGGATTGAGACCGAGTCAAGACCAAGACATTTAGGGATCCAGACCGAGTCAAGATCAAGACATTTAGGGATCAAGACCGAGTCAAGACCAAGACATTTAGGAATTAAGACCGAGTCAAGACCAAGACATTTAGGGATCCAGACCGAGTCAAGATCAAGACGTTTAGGGATGGAGACCGAGTCAAGACCAAGACATTAAGGGATCGAGACTGAGTCAAGACCAAGACATTTAGGGATCGAGACCGAGTCAAGACCAAGACATTAAGGGATCGAGACTGAGACGAGACCAAGACATTTAGGGATCGAGACCGAGTCAAAACCAAGACATAAAGGGATCCAGACCGAGTCAAGACCAAGACATTTAGCGATCGAGACCAAGACATTAAGGGATCGAGACTGAGTCAAGACCAAGACATTTAGGGATTGAGACCGAGACATTTAGGGATTGAGACTGAGTCAAGACCAAGACATTTAGCGATCGAGACCAAGACATTTAGGGATTGAGACCGAGTCAAGACCAAGACATTTAGGGAACGAGACGGAGTCAAGACCAAGACATTAAGGGATCGAGACCGAGTCAAGACCAAGACATTTAGGGATGGAGACCGAGTCAAGACCAAGACATTAAGGGATCCAGACCGAGTCAAGACGAAGACATTAAGGGATTCAGACCGAGTCAAGACCAAGACATTTAGGGATCCAGACCGAGTCAAGACCAAAACATTTAGGGATCCAGACCGAGTCAAGACCAAGACATTTAGCGATCCAGACCGAGTCAAGACCAAGACATTTAGCGATACAGACCGAGTCAAGACCAAGACATTTAGGGAACGAGACCGAGTCAAGACCAAGACATTAAGGGATGGAGACCGAGTCAAGACCAAGACATTAAGGGATCCAGACCGAGTCAAGACCAAGACATTTAGGGATTGAGACCGAGTCAAAACCAAGACATTTAGGGATGGAGACCGAGTCAAGACCAAGACATTAAGGGATCCAGACCGAGTCAAGACCAAGACATTTAGGGATCCAGACCGAGTCAAGACCAAGACATTTAGGGATGGAGACCGAGTCAAGACCAAGACATTAAGGGATCCAGACCGAGTCAAGACCAAGACATTTAGGGATCCAGACCGAGTCAAGACCAAGACATTTAGCGATCGAGACCAAGACATTTAGGGATGGAGACCGAGTCAAGACCAAGACATTTAGGGAACGAGACAGAGTCAAGACCAAGACATTAAGGGATGGAGACCGAGTCAAGACCAAGACATTTAGGCATCCAGACCGAGTCAAGACCAAGACATTAAGGGATCCAGACCGAGTCAAGACCAAGACATTAGGGGATCCAGACCGAGTCAAGACCAAGACATTTAGCGATCCAGACCGAGTCAAGACCAAGACATTTAGCGATCCAGACCGAGTCAAGACCAAGACATTTAGGGAACGAGACCGAGTCAAGACCAAGACATTTAGGGATGGAGACCGAGTCAAGACTAAGACATTTAGGGATGGAGACCGAGTCAAAACCAAGACATTTAGGGATGGAGACCGAGTCAAGACCAAGACATTTAGGGATGGAGACCGAGTCAAGACCAAGACATTAAGGGATCCAGACTGAGTCAAGACCAAGACATTTAGGGATCCAGACCGAGTCAAGACCAAGACATTTAGGGATGGAGACAGAGTCAAGACCAAGACATTTAGCGATCGAGACCAAGACATTTAGGGATGGAGACCGAGTCAAGACCAAGACATTTAGCGATCGAGACCAAGACATTTAGGGATCGAGACTGAGTCAAGACCAAGACATTTAGGGAACGAGACCGAGTCAAGACCAAGACATTAAGGGATCGAGACTGAGTCAAGACCAAGACATTTAGGGATTGAGACCGAGTCAAGACCAAGACATTTAGCGATCCAGACCGAGTCAAGACCAAGACATTTAGGGATCCAGACCGAGTCAAGACCAAGACATTTAGGGATGGATACCGAGTCAAGACCAAGACATTAAGGGATCCAGACCGAGTCAAGACCAAGACATTTAGGGATCCAGACCGAGTCAAGACCAAGACATTTAGCGATCGAGACCAAGACATTTAGGGATGGAGACCGAGTCAAGACCAAGACATTAAGGGATCGAGACTGAGACGAGACCAAGACATTTAGGGATCGAGACCGAGTCAAAACCAAGACATAAAGGGATCCAGACCGAGTCAAGACCAAGACATTTAGCGATCGAGACCAAGACATTAAGGGATCGAGACTGAGTCAAGACCAAGACATTTAGGGATTGAGACCGAGTCAAGACCAAGACATTTAGGGATCCAGACCGAGTCAAGATCAAGACATTTAGGGATGGAGACCGAGTCAAGACCAAGACATTAAGGGATCGAGACTGAGACAAAACCAAGACATTTAAGGATCCAGACCGAGTCAAGACC